GGGAAACTACCAGAGAGGGAAACTAGCTGAGCCAGATGTGGTGGCACACACCTGGGATCCCGGTTCTCAGGTGTGGTGGCAGGAGGACCCGCACAAGTTCAAGCCCAGACCAGGCTTCACAGTGAGAACATGTCTCCAAAAACAGCTACAGCCAAAAAAAGAAACAAGGAAGGAAGGGAGAGATGGATGGTTAAAAAGGAGAGGAAAAGGAAAAAATTATGCAGTTAAATTAGTGGCTGGATTGGCACTGGAACTCAGGTCCCCCATTTTCCCATTCTTTTCACTACACCAATATGCCCCAAACTTTCATTATTTACCCCAAGCAGCCGTTATTCTGTGTTCCATGTTTGGAAGAGATTTTCTCTGCCAGAGGACCTATATTGATGAGTAATTAACTAGATACCTGATTTTACTAATCAGAGGTATATACTGACCAATCAGATTTTCTGAACAGTCTAATACCTAAAAAGACAATTTTTAGATGAGTTAGGTTTAACTGAGCAAAGAATGAGTCATGAGTTAAACAGACCCCTGCAACAGAGAGCCATGCTCCATTTTGCAGGCAGGGAGCATTTATCACTTGGAAAAGGGAGATTCACAGTTGGATTGGTCCTAGCTTGGCCGGTTGCCTTATGTGGGCGTGGTCTGATCAGTTGGCTGCCAATGATTGACATTCAGCTGCTGTGAATGGCTGAGACTCAGCTATTTATTATAAAGGCTTCTAAGTCAAGCCTTCGCTTAGGTTATAGTATGTTACATAGGGGCTCAAGAGGTTGGGACAGACTCAGGCCAAGTTTGGTTCAGTTTGACACCAGCTTACCTACAGAGTAAAGAAAATCAAATATGATATCATTTCAGCTTTTTGAAAGTCAAAAGTATTGTTTGCCTCCCCAACCCACTGTGATCCCTCTTATCTTTGGTTTAGCTCTGCAGTTTCAGTTACCCAAGGTTAGCCAAGGTCTGAAAATGTTAAATGGGAAATTCCAGAAACAATTCATCAGTGTAGAATAACTTCTGTTATGGTGTGTTGTTCTAATTGGTCTATGTTATGATTAGTAATTGTTAATCTCCTATTGTGTCTAATTTATAAATTCAACTTTACCATAGGTATGTAGAAGTAGGACAAATATTAGAAAATGTGGCTTTGGTATTGTCTGTGGCTTTAGGTGTCTGCTGAGGGTCTTGAAGCTCCTTGCAAATGAGGGAGCTGACTGCATTATTAACTTCAAAGAGCCATTAGGGCTCCTCAGAGAACCCATGCTGGGAATTATTATACAGCATAATGCTGCTTTCTCAGATCACTCAGAGCTGTCGTGCCCTAAGGGAACCAATGTAACTTTAGATGTAGCCCAGGGACCTCTGCCCCTCTCTTCCTACCTCCTCTTCTCCTCATTTAGTTCTACATATGGCATAGAGCAAATAATAGCAGTGTTTATATTGTTTTAAGACTGGACTGATAATAACCTATTATTACACCTTCTAGAAATCAAACATGGCTTTGAACCTAAATTGAATTTAACAACAAAAGAGTCTTTTAGACCAATAATGCAAAGAAATTTAGACCAAATTTTCCTAAGTAAAATATTGGCAAAAGAATTTAACACATAAAAATATCTCTCTAACTGGATGGGTCTTCCCACATGCCCTGCAGCCAGACACAACACAAAGCAAACTGTTAACCTGGCGATTCTCAAGATTTGTGGTTCTCAGGATTTTCATTTCATGGCTCATTTAGAAAATGATAAACTGAGCCCACTGCTCATGGTCCCTGCAGGCACTTGTTGTTTAACTTTTGGGAATCTATATCTTGGCACACCTAAGGCCTGTCTGCAGTTCACCAGTTGAGAATGTCCAAATATTTACTGGAAAAATGCCACAACAAATCTAAAAAAAAATCATGATTATCTTAGTAAGCAGGGAATCAATAAAAGTTAATTTTTGATTCTTACTAGAATCTTGATGGAGTGAGTGGTGCTCAGGGAATGTATCAAATGGGATTGAAATATACAGTGAGTGTTTATGTTTAAAAGTTTATCAGAGTAAGAGACGGATCTCTATTAGCCCTCCTCAGAATACTTTCACTCAATTTAAACACACCTGTTCCCACCATTCTTGGCGCTTTCTGAAGCAGTTCTGGAAGTTCCTTTTTGTGTTTCTGTGACTTATGATAAAAACCCTAGGAATGCTGCTGCCGAGCACCATCCAAAAGGAAGGCAGGCTCGTTAGACACTGCGGGGCGTCCTCATCTACCTCTGCTGGTCTTGTCACCGTTACATTTCTGGCTCTTCCCCAAAGTCAAAAGGACTGTGAAAGGTACACATTTTGAATCAACTCAGAATCTCAAGGCAGCCACAGTCATGTAACTAAAGACAGATAAGAGGGAAGACTCCCAGAAAGTGACAAGAGTGGTAGAATACATGTGCTCAAAGAAAGGAAAAGTGTTTTGAGAGGAGTTAATGGCAATGTGTCTTTTGCCGTAACAAGCTTAAAACAAAATTAAATCTTTACCAGATTTCTCAATTATACTTTGTATCTTTAAGACGTGTGAAAATCTTGATTGAGATTCATTCGTTTTAGTGCCTTTGGTACCAGTGTCTGCAGCCTGCATGCCTCTGGCTGAGTAGCAGTGGCTGGAGCGTGTTCTCTGGAAGACGTATTCCTGTTTATTCTGCTATGCTTGGATAAAGGCCTCCTATGTCATCCTTTCAGGCTGGAGACAATGAGAGAAGTGCTGGCCCTTGTGCCTGGTCACCTGGCAACTGGACAAGCTTGGCCTTGACGGCCCTGTGTGTCTGCTCTGTTGTCCACGCACGTTACCCCGACCAACCACAGCAGTCACAGGGAGCTGAAGCATGCCCAGCCTAGCCCTCCTGGTGATAAATTAGGAGAACTAGCCACTATGCCCTGCCTGGAAGCCCAGCTGGCTCTATGTCTTTACGTCCATGGCTCATCTCAATGGGAGACAGAGATTCTCTCTCTCCAAGACCCTCCTCCCATTGTCCCTGAAAAAGGGCTTCATCTTAGCAAACTGTGCTCAGTGTCCACATCTCCCAGCTTGTGGGAAGAGTCCACGTACCCTCTGTGGGGACGAAGGGATCCTCTGAGTACCGCATGAGCCATGCAGGAATCTTTATTTCCCTTCAAGAACGTGCATGACATCTGGAGTCAAGGGAGAGCTCTCAAAGAGGCCCTTGGGTGTCTCCAATTCAGGGCCAGCACATAAAGAAAATTTGTATGGACTGTAACTGTCCTCAGTCCAGAAGAGACAAATGAGAGCTTTTCACGGTGGAATCACCAGCTCTTGTTAGGGGCAAGACCTCTGACTTTCCCTTCTCTTACTCTAGCACAGTCAGCTCATATCAAATGTAATTAGACATTGAAATTCAGTTTATCTTAGAAAATAGGTGGGCTGTGCTATTAGAATGTGTTTCAGGTTTGGAAAATTGCATCCTTCTCTTTCACCTTGAGTTGGCTTATGTTTACTAATTCTTGAACCTCAGGAGAGGCCAGGCTATTTTAGGTTTGACCAGACCTAACACTTGCTTCCTCCTTCCTGGAGGTTTGACTGGGCCCAGGCCTTGGCTTTTCAGCTATTTCTTAAGGTGGCTTTGGGAGGGGTGTGGTGGCAGGGCCCAGAGTTTGGCCAAAATAGCATCTCTTTTATTTGCTGAATATGTTGGGCTGGTGAGCAGATCTTTATTTGAAAAGAGTTCAAGACTAAATAAAGTTTTGTAAACTACAGGTTGTGGCTGTGAATGCCTGCATACATGTATTAGTTCTCCCATACCTCCCTCTGCTTTTTTTCTTTACTGGAATTTTTTGAAGTCATGAGTCAAATGCTAACCAAAAAACCCCACCAGATATGAAATAAATTCAGCCTGTCTCCTATCGCTCTCTCCCTGCTCCACTCTGCTGAAGACAGCCAGCGCTGACAGGTGCATAATCACATGCCACGCTGTGCTCTGTCTGGGCTGTAGCCTTTAAATGTCCTTCGCTGCAAAAAAGTTTCCAACATTCAAAGAGTGGAGACAGATATAATCAACCCTGTGTATTCATGATTCACTGCCAGCAATTATCAAAATTATAATTTTTATAATAATAAGACCTACCCGGGAAACAAGGTCCAGCACAATTTTAGAAGAGTCTGTAAAATAGTGCCAGGTGTGGTGGAGCATGCCTGTAATCCCAGCACTCCAGAGGCTGCAGCAGGAGGGTCGAAGTGAGTTGTGGCCATCCTGAGTTACAGAGTGAGTTCAAGGACAGCCTGAGCTACACAACAAGACTTGTCTCAAATAAACAAACAAATCACGCTTGTTTTCCAGGTAGGCCTTGTTTTCAGGGAAACACAGTACTTGCTTTATTTCATCTTGAAGTTTTGTTTTGCAAAAGTGGTGTATAGTATGCATTCTACTTGGCAGCCTGTTTTTTTAAATTTAACAACCCGTCTTAAAAATCATTCCATATCAGCACATTTCCCTCCTTCTAATGGAATGTAGCTTTTTCCCATGTGTGCTCAAGCCCTCCTTTATTCAGTGTTCCCTACTGCGTGATACATACATAGGCTGTGTCCACAATCTTTTTTTCCATCCCACAAAGTACTGCTGTAAACATCCTTGTTCACAAGTCTTTATGTACTGGTGTTTTTTTTTTGTAAGACAAATTTTCAATTGCCTATAATGGTAGAATCATAGGCAATATATACATAAAATTGTATTCAGTGCTGAGAAAACATTTTCAAAAGGCTGTGAACACCTCCTACACACACACACACACACACACACACACACACACACACCAACCCCGGAAGCTTTGCTCCTCTGAAGCGTGAGTCTTCTCAGTACAGAGGTGATACACAGTTGATACTTTCTGTGTGTCTGTGAGCGCGTGCCTTGTCCGCACTGATTTTGCGTGTGACTGGGGGGAAGGGAGCTGTTAGAAAGCCTGCAGTAGAGGAGGAGCAGGAGTGTTTGGTAAAGGCCTGGCTCTGTTTATCCCATCAGTTTGCACAGCGGAAAGGCGCTGGTCGTGTGGTGCATATCTGCAATCTCCCCGAAGGAAGCTGCACCGAGAACGACGTCATTAACCTGGGGCTGCCCTTTGGGAAGGTCACGAATTACATCCTCATGAAGTCCACTAATCAGGTAGGCCTGGGCACCTTTCCTCTATGAGTGCAGCAGAGACCACACCTTGGTGAAAGAGAAATTTCATATATTTATGATCAGTTCTGAACATGAAGCAATGGTGCCCAGCTGGGTCCGGGCCCTGCACACAGGTTTCTGCTGAGGCCGTTGGGTTTCCCCATTCGCCTTCTTGTGCTGAGTGTCAACTTCTGTGAATGCTTTGGGAAAGGTGCTCCTTAATGCAGACGAGCTGGTTGACCCCACAGTAGAAATCTGTGGGCTCAGGTCCCCCTGAGCCAGTGCTACAGTTCAGCCTGGTTGCAGCTGATGGCCTGGGTTTGGAGCCAGCCAGGACTGACTGGGCACTGAGATTTTGATGGGTCTTTGGGGTCAGTGCGGGAGGCCCTAGGTCTCAGAAGAGGAGCCTAGGAGGGAATTGATGGGGGCATAGTATGTCTAAGAAACTAAGAATCCCTACCTGTGGGAATTGGCTGAGCCCCGGGTATGTTTGTCTTCATTTCTGAAGTCTAAGGGGAAATATGTGGAGCAAATGATCAGAGGTCAGATTGGTTTTTTATTTGAATTAATATTTTTGTTTGATGACTCTGAACAACAGGTGGAGATGTTCTTCTCTCAACTAAAACTAGGAGACTCAAAGCCATTGTAGACCATTGGTGGTCTGCACCCTTCAGTCTGAGGGTAGACACTCACTGGTCTCTAGAATTCTATCAAGAGTCGATGTACTAAATTCAATTTGCAACATTAATGCAGTGACATTGCCTAGGGTAGTAGCAGCCACATTCCAGAAGTGGTAACCAGGCATGGAGGCACACACCTTTAATCCCAGCACTCTGAGAGGCAGAGGCAGGAGGATCTCGAATTGGAGTTCACTCTGGGCAGCTTGGTAACTTATCAGACCTGTCTCAAAATTGAAAAAATATTTTTAAAGGGGTTAGAGATGTACCTCAGTGTGAAGGCTCTGGCTCAAACCTGGGTACCACACAAAAAGCTGTGCATCTGAGGCTGACCAATAAATGGCAGAGAAAGACAAATCAGCTTGATTTGCCCATCCAGTTCAGGAAAATAGGGGAACTGGAGCTTACAGCAAGGGCTCCCTTGTCACAGGTCACTTTTTCTTCTCCACATAGAGAGACCAGAGTCCATGCACATTAACATAGTACACTGCAAACAAATCTGAGAAATAGAAGCGGTGAGGAATGTACCACAGCAGCTATGGGCCAGCCTGACAGATCCATCGGGGCAAACTATAGACAGGGACTAATGCAAAGACCTGTTCTTCCCTTGTCTTTCTTTCTTTTTTTTTTTTTCTTTCTTTTTTTAAAAATCAGAATAGTAAAGCAGAAAAAACTCTGGAGGCATTTGCAGGGCCTTTCCTTGGACTCACAAGGCCCCGCTTTCCTCCAAGCCCAGGGGCTCAGCAGCCTGTGTGCTGGGAATACATTTCTTCCTTTGTAAGACAGGGGGAAACAGAGTTGAAATAACTACAGCTTATGCCTCTGTCTCCCAAAGACCAGGGCCACATGGGAAAGCTCCCACTGGGAACCATGAGATACCAACCATCCCACAGCAGAGGGGCTTCCATAGCATGACGCAGCCTGGGACGAACATTCGCAATTAAGAATACTTTTTGGTAACCATGGAGATCAGGAGAGGTGCCATGTTATAATGAGCTCTTTGGGTGAAGTTAATAAAAAGGCCTTTTTGAATATATGAGATCAAAGAGTGCTCTTTCTTGCACTGATTTTTTTATTGAGGCATAAAATAATTACTCATAAGTGCATAAAGTACAGTAATCTTAAGTCTACAACTCCATTTTTTCATGTATGTAGACCCATATAATTAACACAAGGTGAAGATGGAGGATGTTTCCAGAATGTCAGAAGGTTTCCTTAGGACCTTTTCCAATCATTTCCCCATCTCTAGCCCAGAAGGAAGCTCAGCGAATTCCCATTCACAACAATTCGTTTTCCGGTCCTTGAACTTCACTGACATGAAATCATACCGTGAACAGAATTTTAAGACCACACAATCAAGTCCAACTTACGTCTTTTCTGTCTTTGCAAGGCCTTTTTAGAGATGGCTTACACAGAAGCTGCCCAGGCCATGGTCCAGTACTATCAAGAAAAGTCAGCTGTGATTAATGGGGAGAAGTTGCTCATTCGGATGTCCAAGCGATACAAGGAGTTACAGCTGAAGGTAAAGCGGTCTCTCACTCACTCAGCCATTCATCAAGTGTCAGATGAGTTTTCCCTACTTGTCAGGTGCTGAACTAGGTGCTGCCAGGAAGGGGAGGCTAGGGAAAAGTTCCGAATTTACTCCCTTTGAGGAGATCACTTGGAAAGGCAAATCATTACGCAGTGACACGAAAGGTGTTTGTCAAGAGAAGTACAGAATGCAGAGGGTGCCTGGGTCTGTCGGGGAGCCAAGGAAGCTTCACTCGGGAAGATGTCTGCAGAGGTCTGAGAGAGGCAGTGGGAACAGGAAGGGGGTGCTTTTTGGGAGGGGGGTTCCAGGCATAAACCCCTGACTACAGGCGCTCTGTACTCATGCGAGCCTTCAGTAACATTTTCTTCCTCTGCCACCCCCCTGGATCTTTCCTTCTTTCCTCCCTCTGCTCAGATGTCCTAAGCCACAAGCGGTGCTTGACTGACTTGGAGACTGTCGGAACTCAAAGGAATGCGGGTCATTTCAGACGGGACTTTGTTTTATTTTGGCTTACTCAGCATTTCATCTTTTCTTCTTTCTTGTTTTATTGAGAAGTATTATAAATATAGAAGAGTGGTCAATAATATATTGTACAAATTAAAAAGTAATGTTTGGGCTGGGGATTTAGCTCAGTGGCATAAGCACCTGCCTGGCAAGTGCAAGGTCATGAGTTTGATCTCCGGTACCGGAAAAAAAAAAAGTAATGTTGGATGAGATGTTATACGTCCTGTAAAAGCCACCCCCAAAGCCAGGAGATAGAACACAAATGGTACCCCAAAGAGTAACAGTCTTTCCTCATGCTCGGCCCTTCCCTCTCTCCTTTGGGGATGTTCATTTCCGTGCTTTTCCTTATAGTTTGGCCACCTACTCACGCCTCCCTAATGACATAACTTAGTTCTGTCTGTTACTGTACTTTACATTAGTGGGTTCACACCGTCCACTCGCTTTCCAGTCTTGCCTCTTGCTCAGCATTATGTCATCCATGTTGTTGGGTGCATGTCTTTTAATTATTAGAATTTTATGTGACATGGGGACAATCTGTTTATCCATCGTACTGTTGATGGAGCGCTTGGGTTGTTTCCAGTTTGGGGCTGTTAGAAGCAGTGCTAATACACATCCACATGAGTGTCTCATGAGGGGAGAGATTGGGATTGCTGGGTTTAAGGCATGGTTACCCCCACTCTGCTAGAGGGTAGCCATCACAGTCTCTTTCTGACATTTCCTCAGATTTAAACTCATTTTTAATTGTGTATGAGGGTTTTCAATGGTCCAGATTCTTACTGTCTTTATCTTGTCACACTTTTTAGTTTTTGCCTGTTTGGGGCGACTGTAATGGTTTATTTTGGTTGTTTTACTTTCCTGTGACTAATTGTGATTGAACAATTTTCCATGCTTATGGCTATTCCATCTAGCCCCATCTATCCCCATCTTCTTGATGGGGAGTTTCTTTCACATCATCTGGCTATGTTTTTCTTTTGCATTTTGTCAGCTTATTGATTTACATGAATTCTCCTAAGCAGAACACTTAGTTCATTTGGATTCCTTGTAATTAATGCCATATTTCTGTGCAAATCTTCCCACCAACTTGGTGCTTTACATGGTCCTGTTTGAAAAGAATTCTCCTGGTTCATTTAAGACCATTCCAGGTGTGCTTAGAGTCCACTTTGTTCACAACTCACAGCCTTTGATCTGCCCTTAATCTTCAAGGTTTAAGTGAGAAGACAAAAGCCCATTGGTTGCTTCCAGCTAGAACTTGAATTCTGGCAAGTTCACATGTGCAGACTGCTCAGTAATAGGTCGACCAGTTGCCTGAGTCTGATTCTGCTTTGCTGGCATTATTGCTTCTGAAGTCCTTTGCCAACAATTCTGCTTCTGGCAGAACTCAGCATTTGTTTTTTTTTCCCTAACGAAAGTGTCAGCCGGAATTGAGTATCTTTACTCAGTTTCCAGTGGATCTTTAGTCTAATTAGGGTTAACAGTAGTAATCAGTTTGTTAAAGTACCAGGCAAGCTAATACCCTACTGAGGGAGATAGTTTGAGTGGTGCAAATACTTTGGGTTAAAGAAGTTACATGGTCAAGGTTTGTACTTAGCCCATGTTCCCTGAGTACCTACTGTGGGCGGGAACTGGGCCAGGTGCTGTGGCCTTTGAGGGAGCTAACTTGGGAGGAGTGCAGTCTGGTGGGAGGAAAGGCGTGTAAACAAAGAACCATCACCAACTGCCTGACCTGCACTGAAGCCAAGGGTGGTGCTGCCAACCTAGACCTTGCCGCTTCCTGCTTGGATGTGCTCAGACAAGTTGCTTAACCTCTGCGAACCTCTATATCCAGATCAGTTAAGGACTTTACCTTGAGTTCTTTTGTTTTAGGCCAGCAATTTTTTTTTCATTTGTCTTTTGGAACTCCCCGTCATCTTACTCTCTGAAGAGTGCAGGGTGGATAATAACCGTAATTATAAGAGTGCAACAATAATGTATACCTTTGGCTGAGTCCTGGTACTCTAGGGCAAGTCATGTACTGAGCACTTTACATATATTATCTACCTTAGTTCTGACATCAGTCCTGTCAGACAGGTGTGATTATCTCAATTCTGTGGATGAAGAAACTGTGAGGCTAGTAGAAGTTTAGTAACTTTTCCAGGGTCATTTCTACTGGAAGGGCTGTGATTAAAGCTTAGGACTCTTTTGGTTTTGCATTATATCTGTATTATTGTATTGTGCTGTTATAATCTCCATTCCCCATATGACAAAAAGAGAAACAGGTGACTTGGAGCCAGGAAGCTGCAGCGACAGCATTCCAATAGAACATACAAGTTACATAGAGTTCTTGTGAAAATGCATTTCCATTTAGCAGGTCTGTAACAGGGCTGGGATTCTGCACTCTAACAAGTTCATGTCCTGGTCCTTGCGCACACCTAAAGTAGCAAGGTTTGGACCCAAGGTTTTCTGATCTTTAGTAGTTTTCTGTTCCCAATGTCACACTGTCTCACAAAGTCATTGTGAAGGTCACATGGGATAACCTATGGGAAAGTACTTTAAAACATATTTGAACTACACAGTAACACATGCTTTTGGGCCCCTCTTTTGACATAAATCAGCTAGAACATTCTCTGCAAGTAACAGAAACCTGTCTCAGTTAAGCCTGGTGACTCGGTAAAATAAGGAATTCATTGGCTCAAGTAAATGAAAAGTCCAGGAGTACTTCCGGCAGCAGACATGACCGGATCCAGCGTCCAGATGAGGTCATTAGGACTTGGTTCCTTTCCAGTCTGACTTCTGCCGTCTGAACTTTGTTTTATGTGTGCTTCCGGGGGTGGCCCTTAGCCGCCCCCAGCTCTCTCCTCTAGATGGCATGGTAGCTTCAGTGCCTTCTGCAGCTCTGGCTTCTCATGCTCCTATTCCTTCTCACAAGAAAGAGCTGGAGATTTTTTCCTAGTGGCTCCAGCAAAAAGAGAGTCATTCTGATTGGACTAGCTTAGCACATGTGCCCATCTTTGAACCAATTTCTGTAGTGACACCAGGGAAGATTGCGCTGTGATTGGCTGAACCTGTGTCACTTGCTCCATCCTCAGAACCAGGGGTGCAGACCCACCCAGACCTCCAGAGTGACAAGGGGGAGGAGGCTCCTGGGAGGTGGGTAGCGAAACACCGCATCTATTTGTGTCTCTAGGCCAAATGGGCCATCATATCATGTTCCACCAGAGTAGACAGGGTGGGAGGAAATTCTGACTGATCTTTCTTTTCTAACTTTCTCCTTTTGCTTACCAAGCAAAATACAGAGAGAGAAAGGATAGACTTTGAGTTATGTATTCATCTTCTCTTAATTGCTATTTCCTCACACCTGCATCTTACCTCCTCATGTGCAGGGCTCTAATCTCAGAGCCTTTATGGCAGAACTTTGCCTGTGTCACATTATAGGTGTCCAAATAATAAAGAAGAGAGCTTCTGAAGGAAAATTAAAAATGAGTGTTTACTTTCCTGACAAGGAAGATAGATGCACGATTGGAGTCTTTGCTGTTCTATAAAGTTCTTGGATAAATTAGGATCATAATATCCTTGATGACCTTGATGTGGAACTTAAACCACTGTCTCCTACTTACTGCATTAAAGAATTGTCAGAGGGACTTTCAGGTCCTTCTTCCCAGAGACTCATTTATTGGATTGAGTTTCCTGGCAGTGCTGGGGGCCAAGGCCTGGCTTCAGGGCTGCTGAACCTCTCGGTCTCCTGGGCACAGAGAACACCTCTGGCCCTGGAAGTCAATCTTGTGGGTCACCCATGATACTCCGTATTGGAAGATTAGGGAAACTGATGACGTGGAGTCTTTGCTGTGTACAACACAGTACTAACCGCTGTGACAGGTATGAGAAACGGTCCTGACTTGAGGAGAGCTTACTATTGGGGGATGGGGGACGACAAACTATTCTTGTGTAAAATCATACATGACTTAAACATGAGTGTCTAAGTGGCTATTAGAAGTTCAGTGCCAAAACACAACACAGCTTAGAAGTAAAGAGGGAAGAGGTTGCAAGAAGGAACTCAGGGGATGGAGAGGATTAGCCACACAGAAACGGGGCTTTTGGGCAGGAGTCAGGTGAGAGGAGATGCAGAGGCTGGAAAGCCAGTAACCTCAGAAACAATCAGGAGCCCCTCAATTGGACCGGCTCTGCAGAGCTCCAGGCTCATCTGGAAGCTTCAGCCTCTTCCCCAGACTGGAGATGTACACAGCAGCCATGAAGCTGCAGAGGGGCATGGTACCCTGCACCCCACCGCCACTGCTTGCACGAGTGCAGCTCGCCACTCTCTGAGGTGCTTGGTCAAGGCCAGATGGGCCTCATTATCCACCTAGGTAAAGAAAGTGAGTCCCTGTAGGCAACCAGCCATGAGCCTACGCGACCTTGCCAGTCAGGGGCCAGAGCCAGGCTGCTGTTTGTGGGTTGAGATTCTGAGTCGTGGGTGGGGGCTCCTTCTCAGTAAACAGCACTGTCCTGGGACAGCCAGGAGCTTAATGTCTTACTGGGCCTTAGCAGCAGGCAGATGTGTTGACTGTGAGCAGAGTGGGTGGCCCTGTGGGGCTGCTGAGCTGCATCAATGTCACACAATGTGTGCAGAGATAGGACATCTGACATTTGCTTCAGAATAACCTAAGGAGTGGGGAAAGAGAATGAAGGTAAAAATACAAGACTGGCAGAGTGATGGAACATGGATGAAGGATTTATGGGATTCGATATGCTATTCACTCTACTTGTGTTTGTCTCATATTTTTTGCAATAAACACTACCCCCAATTTTATTATAGATCTACTCTAGTCTCTCCAATTTCATTTTTCTCGGGCAATAACAACATTATTTCACCTGCTCCCTTTGCACTTTTAACCAGGCTGTAGCCCACCCAAAAGAAAGGTTGAAAGGATTTTCTTAGGGCTTTGAGAAGTCAACTCTGTTATTTGAAAAATTGTTGGCTATTTCTGTCCCCTCTGGATGGTAGATGCAGGGTGGCTGTTAGGAGATTGCCAAACAGTTTGCAGTTATCACTTAATATAGTGAAGTGACCTTGGGCTCTCGAAAGGGTCACCATGCTACCATGCTATGGTCACCAGCCTCGGTGGACAATGCTTACAGACTCTCCCCACAGGTTAACGCTCTGTAGCCACATCCCTTCATTTCTCCTGCCATTCCCTGGAATGGGTATTGTGGGGCACAGACTCAGACCAAGGCTCTGCTGGTCCTGTCTGTGTGAAGATCAGTGACCTGGACCCTCTGCACTCTGAGCAGAAGTAATTCCTGTGAACACTGCCATGAAAGTGGCCCCAGGAGATTTAGTGACTGGGGAAACAAGAGGAAAGATGTCTCAGACAAAATGAGGTTCTTATAGCCCCCAAATCACCTGGCATGCATCTCTTTGACCCTGAGGACCTGCATGGTGCCTGGGGATGCTATGTGTGGTGACCAAGGGAACAGGCACTCCTAGATGCCTCTGGTCCTCACCTGGACCCCCATGGGGACTTGAAAACACTCATCTGCTCCATCTGCTCCATCTGCTCCCAGGCAAAGCCACCCTTCTCACACTGCAGGACTTCCTGGGTCTAGGCTAGAAGGAACAATCAGGGGCATGTGCAGTTCTCAGAGAGCAAAGGAAAACTGTGCATTGGGGCTCATTTTATAGGAGAAAGTTCCCTATCTGACCCCCGGGAGGAATTCTTATTTTCATATTCTGAAACTGTTATGTACTCTTGACCTACATGGGAGGCGTGTGCTTTAGGCTTTACCTGTGCCCTCCATTCCAGCTTGACAGTGTGAGCTTTAGATTTGAGCCCCAGGATGTGGCCTCCTGAGTGATAACGCGTCTGCTCACATGGACTTGGTCTTTGTCAGGGCTTTGTAAGGTTTTGCTGAAGACCAGCTGCCCCAGCAGGCCCCGCCCTTGCTTATCCACTGCTGACTTCCACTGCGTGGCCACCAGTGGGTAGGTAGGAAGAAGACTTACTAGTGGGGGCCATGTAAAATGCAGGCTTCTCCAGATGCACCACCGTCTTCTACCTCATGAAGGTGATCAGTGACCCTGGCGAAGGCTCGGTAGACTGAGCAGGGTGAGAGGGTTACAGGAGGCATCCTGGGCACCAGATTCCTTCTCAGCAGCTTTGGCCTCTTCTTTGCTCAGCCATGGACTATGTTGTGATCCAGTTAAAGTAGATGAGGCACTGGCTGACAGTGCACATTCTGGGTGGCCTGGTGACTTGTGTGGCACCTCTATGAGATAAAGGGTTAAGCTCATAATTAAGGCACCACTGGCCAAAAGTGTAATGTAGCTTTTTAAGTGAATATCCTGACCAATCCTAAGTTCCTAGGCCTTTTTGAATAGAGCAGTGATCCGCTTCTTGTGCTTCTACTTCTTTCTACTGATAGAGTCAATCAAGATCACTGTCTTCTCTGATTTTCTTTCTTTTTGCATCTTGAGCTGACAGGAGCTCTCTCCCTGGCTGGAGCATTTCCCATCTTTTCCCTGTGCCCAACCTTGACCTTTCACCCCATGCCAAAGGCCACACCCCTTCATTCTTATCTTTGGTTCCTCCACACCCAACCCTCAGTATCAACCACACAGGTGAGCAGCTCTGATGCTCAGAAAGCCATAGGCCTTTTGGCTAAGATCAAGTGTGGAAAGCCCGTGGAATTCTAGTCCCAGCCACTTCACATCGCTGGACCTGGTGTCCTCCTCTATAGATTGAGACATTTCATGATGCCTAGCCCTGGAATAATTCTTAAGGTATCATGTTCTATGTGAGAAAAAAATAAAGGGTAAGGAAAGTGGTTGATTAAATTTCTTCTGTGGTCACACACTTCTTTTTTTAAGCATTCAAAAAAATCATTTGTGCCTTCAAGCTTAGAAAGGACCTTAGGGGGCTGGGCTTGGTCCTGTCCTGGTACATAATGACCTACAGAGAGGGCAGAACCCTTGGCGATCTCTGCTGTGAAACGTGACACAGAATCACTCTGAGTGTCGGATGACCCCTGGGGATGAACACGCTGCAGCGAGGTGTTAAAAGGGTCACGAGGCGTGGCAAGGAAGTAGGAGGGACAGGGTCTGTTCTTTAACAACCTCTATGACCTTGAACTCCACACAACACCCAGAGTCACTAACTGTAGAGAGCACAGAGTGGATGGCGAGCCGGAGTTTTGCAGAACAGAGGCTGCCTGTGCTGGTCTTGAGTGAGTTTATACACAACACATACAAGAGACCTATATTCAGTGACCTTCACGTAGCTCTCCAGGTTTATATGCCATTGCTGTTCTTCCTTTCCTCCTCCCTTCCCTGTTTTCACATTTCACACAGGTAAGAGGAGAAGGGAGGTGAGAATTAACCCACGCTGTTTTCCAGCAGGTGGATGGTGAACCATGGTTCTTATGTCCCCAGCTCCATGGATGTCACGTTTTCAGAGCCCTCAGCCCTGTTCTGTTCCACACTGTGCTCCCTCTCCTCAGCCCTTGGATCAGACATTATTTCTTCCTCATGCAAGGCACCTTGCACCCTTTAATGCCCTGGACAGCGAGGACCCCTAGTCCTGTCTGTTTTCCTCTGGCATTTGCAAGGCCACCTCTGAACTGATGGTGCTCTCTCTGACCTCCTAGAAACCTGGGAAAACTGTGGCTGCTATCATCCAGGACATCCATTCCCAGAGGGAGAGGGACATGTTCCGGGAAACAGACAGGTAAGGCTCCGGGTCTAGGGCAGATTCCAGATTCTTGTTTCTCATTCTTAGAGGGATTTGGGCCACACCATACCCTTGCCCTAGCCCCTGTCCCATTCATCTGCCTTCCAGGCCCTACCTGTCTGTGTTCCCAGTGAAAAGCACCAGAGTCCAGGCCCAGAGGGCAACTCAGGTTTAGCTCAGGAGAATGCTGGATGCTGGCTTCCATTCCTCCACCCCTCCTCTGTTGGAAAGGAATATGGCAAAGGACTTGCTAATACTTGGCCCTTTGAGGCCTCCTTCCCTCTGCTGGAGCAGCCTGGACACATCTATGCATGTGGCAGAGCAGCAGTGGGGACTTCTCAGGCCAGCTCTTGATTTGTCATGAGCTCAACATAGATGTGGAGATAAAGATATAAATGGTTAAATTTTTTTTTCTTGAACATTTACTCTGATCGAATGTGTGCAGTTTTCCAGCTCAATTCTTTCATGTAAAGTTTGTGATCAACCAGGCCAGGCTGGGGATACAGGATGACCCTGCAAAGACAGTCCTGGGAGAGCCTTAGGGGAAAGCAGTCCAGCCAGGCACCTGCCCGCAGCATCTGCGGTTCTTACCCACATCTGCCACAGGAGGCGCTCTGGCCTCACTGCTGAGGGCTTTTTGTCATGGTGGTCAAGGCACCCTTGTCCTGCTAGGCAGCCACAGCTGTGTCCAATGGCCAGTTGGAATGCATGGTTGTCCTTCGTTTAAGAACCAAGGGAATAATGCCCATCGTTGGTGCCTGACTTGATCTGTTTAATCACCAGCCTTTAGCACACATACGTGTTTGTATTTACATGTGCAGGCTTAGGGCGTTTGTCAGTTTTTTTTTTTTAATTGTGGTTACTTAAGTTTTTAACTGGTGTGTGTACAGCCACGCCATGCCACCTGCAGCTTGGTGGCAGTGTAAAAGGAGATTTGGAGTCTTTTCCTGGGTTTCAGTTTCCTTGAATCCTGCGCCGTAGCAGGTCAGACCCTGAGTTGTCTTCCAGCCCTCTTCCTGGTTCTTTATTTTTGGAATAACTGCCCTCATCATTGCCACTCCCAAACTATGAGCATCCCTTTTTCACATCTGGGATGTGGACAAATTTAGGTGAGAACTAAATGAGGGAGGTGGAAGCCAAGAAGCACCTTGTATTCTGATGGAGACCAAGTGGAGGCGTGGCTGGGTCTAACAGGAAGGGCTGGCTAACAGGACCTCGGTTTCACATGGCCTTGCCTACCATGAGCGGCCTTTGGGCTGGGGCCCCACGCCACCCCCAGGAGGAAAGACCAGGGCCTGTCCCCTGGGTGTAACTCACTTCCCAGAAAGGCCTGAGCCAAATGAATCCAGGCATTTCCCTAGCTGCCAGGACCAGGATGAAGAAAGGGGCAGAGAGAGAGTAGCCTGCACCAGGCTCGGGGAAAAGTCCTTCCCCACGGAGACCAGGAGGGCTGACGGCCTTCCTTCCATCTACTCCCTGTGTGGACCTAGACAGTCCTGACTGGGGGCACACAGCTGGGCACCTGCGTCCAGTGTGTCCAGGAGACTGACTGAGGATGTTGGGGCTGGGTGCGGGGTGTGAAGACTCTAAAGCCTCTTCTCTTTGCTCCCTCACAGATACGGCCCGGAGCGGCCGCGTTCTCGCAGTCCTGTGAGCCGGTCTCTGTCCCCGAGGTCACACACTCCAAGTTTCACCTCTTGCAGCTCTTCCCACAGTCCTCCAGGCCCCTCCCGGGCTGACTGGGGCAACGGCCGGGACTCGTGGGAGCACTCTCCCTACGCCTGGAGGGAGGAGGAGCGAGACCCCCTGCCCTGGAGGGAGAACGGGGAGGACAAGCGGGACAGGACAGACGCTTGGGCGCACGATCGCAAACACTACCCCCGGCCGCTGGACAAGGCCGAGCCTGACGAGCGCCCAGAAGCGGGCAGGGGCCACCGGGAGAAGTACCTGAGGGCCGGCTCCCCCAGCCCACTCCACTCCGTGTCCAGCTACAAATGCCGGGAGGACGGCTACTCCCGGAAAGAGCTCAAAACCAAGTCTGAAAAGTACGTAAAGCAGCAGGATGGTCCCGGCCGGTCCAGGAGGAAAGAAGAGGCCAGACTGCGGGACAGCAGACACCCCCACCCCGATGACTCAGGCAAGGAAGACGGGCTGGGACCCAAGGTCACTAGAACCCCTGAGGGCACCAAGTCCAAGCAGAGTGAGAAAAATAGAACCAAGAGGCCTGATAGAGATCAAGAAGGAGCTGATGATAGAAAAGAAAGGAAAATGGCAGAGAATGAGGTAATGATGCAATTGTTGCCCAGGTAAGGTGAGGCAGGTCCCGGAGAAGACAATGCCAATAATATAATATAACCGCGATGAACATTTACTGCATGAATGAGTGTTGATGGAGTGAATGAAACATTTATTGAATGTTTACTATGTGCCAGGCACTGTGTGAGGCATGTTATCTCAATGCACATAATCTCACGGGATCCTTAGGAGGTTGGCGCTGTTATTTCTGCTGATGAAGAAACTGAGGCACAGAGAACTGTATTGTTTTCCCAGGAACACTCAGGAAGTGACAGAGCCAGAATTATATCCAGGTGATCTAGCCTCACATCCCACGGTACCTTGTTGCCTTCACTAGAAGTTAGGGAGGGATGTGGGAAGGCCCTCTGTAGTTCTGTTTGTCCAAGCTGGAGTGGCCTAAGGTGCTCACACCCACAGAGTCTTCCAGAAGAGATTAGATCTTTGGTCCACTCTGCTCTGTCTCCTGCCAAAGCAGCTGCCAATCCAGGAGCTCTGATGAGAAGTGGGAAAGGAGAAGCAGCCTCCACCCCTTAAATTATACCACGTGCCCAGGGTGTGGTGTGTTTCTGGAGATACTACCCACAGGACTTAGTTCCATTTTAATAAAAATGTGCAGCAGTCGGCTGGGGTTGTCATCCAAGGGGCCACGAGGGCTCCCATCTGTGGCACTGCCTCAGCTCACACAGCTGCATCAGCTTCTTACATTTAAGTAGGGTGGGATCTTAGAGGATTGGGGCTCCGTATAAGGAACCTTATTTTTAAAATCTTCCATGCACACCTGCTAGTTATCCTGATCTAAGAGTTGGTATTGATAAATCCTAATAAGAAACCCAGTCCTCAACTCATGAGAACTGAAGAGTCACACTTTGAGCTGCTATTTAGCCTTCATTTCCTCATACACGTGATAGAATGCCACTTGGCAGGTGGTGTGCTGGGCACAGGGGATCCAAGGGTGGCTAGCACGTAACACATGTTATGGGAGAGCTCAAGATCCAGTGGTGGAGTTGACCTGTGAAATAATTTATATACACTAGGACCCATGGCAGAATTTGCAGAGGATGAGCCGTGCTGTGGGCAGTTAACTCTACCAGGGAAAGGAGAAAGCTGCACAGAGGAGGTGGCATTTGAGCTGGGTATTGAAAGTGGGTAAAAAGTCAATTGGGATTCTTGGTAGAAATTGTTGCAGGATCAAAAATGAGAACAAAATACTATTGTCAAGAAACTGTAGATACTCAGTGTGGCTGTGTCTTTAGAGCATATTCAAGGATAATGTTTTTAAAAATTAAAATCATGACTCTGGTGTGGACATGTCATGAACACATGTCAAGGATTTTATTCAACTCAATTATCAAAGGAACTATGAGATGCAAGAGTCAGCTCCAAGGAGACGCCTCAAAGAGCAGGCAACCTTGCAAGCCATCAGGACCACTGAAATGAATTTGCTAATGATATAATCTGTTCCAGAGAAGACAGGAAGTCAGTTGCTTCTCCACCAGATGAAATTCACTTGTATCTCAATAAACAGGAATCATTTGAATCACAGTTTTCTACAACCAACAAAGTTGCACAGTAGCTCAGCTTAAGATCAGGAAGAGTGAGGAGCCCTATGGAATGGGGTACCCTGGAAATGTGTGAGACAGTGCCCAGCATTCTTCGTGGGATGCTCCGTGTTTTTTTAAAAACCCATTTCAAAGTCTGTGACAGGTTTTACTGCCTGGAATAGTAGGGGGAAGCACAGGAGATGTGGTTAGGGAAAGTAGGGGAGGGGGCTGATGAAGGACCTTGAATGAACTAGATCCTCAAGATCCAGTGACCCCCAGAGGGTGTTTTGAGGAGGTGTGGTCCTCTCTATTCACTGGGTCTCTCCTCCCAGCTTTTCACTATTGGTACCGCTAATCACCTGGTGCCCTCATTTTGTTTAATGTGTACCCTCACCCCTCACTCCAAGTGTTACCTTCACGAGGCAGAAATTTTTCTCTGCCATCATCAAGGCTGTCTCTAGTGTGGGAGAGGCATTTGGTGAAGGAAGGATGAGCCTGGACTCTGGAAGGAAAGGCCCAGCTTCTTAGAACCACAGTCACACCCTGTCCTCACTCTCGGTGATTTTGTGTGTAAAATGGATGTGACCACGAGGCAGTTGCTGCAGTTTAATGAGCTTGTGCTTATTGGAGCCCAGTGGGATCTCTGAGAAAGTACTTATGACAGACAAGCCCATAAATGTACTTCTCCAGGTTTGCGAGTAGCCAATCTACATGTGGGACCCAACCCTGACTCTTGGAAGAAATGAAGTAACTTAGTGGGAAGATCTGGGAAAGAAACACCCTTTCCTCTTAACTGGAGGGAGGGATCAGTGTTACAGATGCAGGTACCCAGAGATGGCAAATGAGAACCATGTAGGGTGAGTGGGGCCAGGTAGGAGTGATCGGGCTGTGGCAGGCTGAGAAGGTTGTGCCTCTCTGTTTAGGGAATCCTGACAGCTGTGACACAGGAATGTGTGCCTCCTAGTGTGCGAGCTCCCTTTGCTTCAAGGAAGACCTACACCTGGACTGGATGTCTGTGTAACGTTTAGAAAATATGCATGCTTTAGAAAATATACTGACCAGATATATCTGTGGGTCACATGCAGCCCAGGGTCTGCAGGATGCAAATCTCAGTGTAAACAATCCAGAATAGGAAGGAATAGAAAAGCCACTCGTGCCCAATTCAGAGCCCAGGCATAGACCCCAGCATGCTGGGAGATAGGTTACTCACCCCATGCCCTTCCATATTCCATTCTTTTCTTGACCACTGTCCACAGAGCACTTAGCTTGAGTTGTTTTATGAGTGACACTGAAATGGTCACTGACTTCCTGGAGCTCGTGCTAACGAAGTCATCCCTCCATGACAGAGAGATGTGTGCGAAATGCTAAGAAGGGAAGGGGGGGCCTGTAATGAATCAGAGGCTTCCCTGGGTTAGCATGGGCCTGTTGAGATTGGAAGGGATGGAAAGAAAGTATTTCTTAGCTGAAAAGGAAGATCAGATGGTGGAAATAGCACGGGCAAGGCTCCATCGGTGACCAGAGGCCAGTGTTGCTGGAGCAGAGAGGCAGGCTAGCATTATCAGTCTCAGGAGGTTAGGCTGATACCGGCAAGAAAGCAAGTGGGGATATGATAGTTCTGCATTTGGGGAGATGCAGGAAGCATACAGAACAGAAGGAAGAAAAGATCAGTTAGGAGGTGGCTCAGCAGTAAGTTGTCAAGGGCCTATGGTGGCAGAGCTCCGCTCACAACTGTTGGGACCTGGCATCTTGGTTTGTGAGCTGGTGTGGGCCGCTGAGTGCCTTCTTCTTGGTCCCTCAGACTGCAGCTCTCACCTGGAAGTGACTCCAGAGCAGTGGAGCTCAGAAGGACACAGACTTGCCTTTGCCTATAGGGGTCTGCCTGCCGGGGTCTTTGGGCAACACCCCCAAAGCTGTCCCAGTCTTTCCCCCACTTAAATTAGAGGGGCATTCTTGACTGTGTTCACCGAGGAGCATGTCTGCAGAAACTGTGAAGAATAAAGATATTTTTGGTCTTATCTTGTTTCATTTGTTTTTGAAACAAGGTCCCCCTCTGTAGTTCAGGCTGGCCTTGAACTCATTACATGTTCCAGATTAACCTCAAATTCTTGCCGATTCTCCAACCTCCACCTCCCCAGTGCTGAGATTACAGCATGCACCACCGTGCACAGCATGATTATTTATTTTGACAAGAGAGGGCCATGAATAACTTACGAAGGGTGATAAAAATAAAGTGGTCATCAATGGCTTCTGATAGCTAAAGAGGTACATGTAGCTGATTTATAAGTAGCTCCAGAGACTCAAGCAAAGTTTTCTGTGGAATCTGCTGCTCCAAACACGGGGGAATTGGTACTCTCTGTCCTGTGTAGTAATAACAAGTTGAACCCGTCAGCCCTGGGCTCCTGCCCAGCTGGCCTGTTGTCAGCTCAGGGAGGTGTATCTCTCCTCCTATGTAATTAAAATAGAGCCCTTTCCTTTGAACCAGCCTCAGTCAAAAAAAAGCCAAGAAAATTTATCTCATCCCTGGAGAAACCCAGGAATGGTCATTTGACTTTGTGACGAAAGTTAAAGTCATAGGAGAGTAGCTCCCAGAAACTTGGAAAGCAGAGCTTTGCAAGCTGTTTCTACAGGAGATCAAATAGAAAATATTTTAGTCTACGCAGGGTTTCATGTGGGTACTTACATAGCTGCTTAAAATTTCACTGTCAGAACTATAAAATCCATTCTTAGCTCGAAGAGTAAAAGCAGGCAGGCAGAGTCAGCCTGTAGGACATAGATTTAAAGGCTGGTGAGAAGCCTTAATTCTCAAGCTGCTTTCATGTGTTCAGTTCCTCATCCAGGCATAACCACGTGGTCTTACCTGGGGAGGCAAGGAGGAAAGCCAAGGGAAGGGAGTGCTTGTTTGCTCTGTGGTTTTGGGAGAGACAGAGGGCGAAAGAGAGGTGAGAAGGCACAGAGAGGGTGCCAGCTCCTTGCCTACCATAAGGGGCTGGAATGTGTTGTTTTATGGGCAGATGGGTCTGCTGGGCAGATGTCACAGTGACGGCCAGCTCCAGGGCCAACTGTAGTACATTCACTCTTGGCTTCTTCTACCCTTGCTGCAGCAGCAAACACCACTTTTCCAGAGATCTCTGACCCCCAGTGACATCCTGCCAGCCTTCACAACATTTCTCTGCTGCTCTGTCTGTGCAACTGGGAACAAGTTGCTCAACCTCTCTGAGCCTCAGTTTTCTCCTTCTGTAAAGTGAGGGTGATCCAGCTGCTGCCTCTGAGGGGCTCTGTGGGGGAAGAGGAAATGATGTGCATGGAACAGTCTGTGTCCAATGTCACCCTTTTTCTCTTGGCACTCTCTCATTTCCCTCCCTCTACTCACTGTTGATTTTGTGTCTCTGTTCTTCCTTTGGGAAGGCTGCAAAAGAGGAACAGGAGGGCATGGAAGAAAGCCCCCAGTCAGTGTGCAGACAGGAGAAAGAGACAGAGTCCTCTGAGCCAAAAAGCACAAGGACGAAAAAGGTAAATTTGTCCCAGACACTGGCAAATGTAGTCACATCTGCATTTCACCCAGCAGGGACTGAGTCCTAGAAGTCCCCATCCTGCCTAGCAGTCGCCCCGGTACAAATGTGTCTCAGGCCCCACCGGCTGTTCCAGGAAAAGCCCATTTGCTTCTGGGGGAATGGCTTTGTTTGGGATCTTTGCACAGTCTTTATTGGGAGGTCTTTACCCGCGCGCCTGGGCTCTGCCTCACTCTCCAGCAAATTGGCTGCTCGCCTATGAGAAAATATGTGCCCAGAAAAGACTCAGGCCTTAAGAGCCAGGCTCCCAAAATAGGCAGGTCCCTTAGGGAGTATGGGGGACCCTGTTTTGGGTACTTAAGCTGGGGCTCTGTCCTCAGCAGCTCAGACGCTGGGATCAACAAAATATCTACTGTACTTGTAAAGATTATTTTATATAATTAAAAAGAGAAGCTCAATCCCAGTCTTCCTGGGCTGGGGCTTCTATAGCAAAAAGAAATGTGCTTGGAATGTGGCCAGCTTCATGCTTTTCTGGTCAGGAGAATCTGATACCTAAATCTGTCTGCTAGGTCTCTGGACTGCTGGGAACACAAGGAGAAGGTTTTAGGAGAGATTAAATGTGAAGACTGAAATTACGAGGCTTATGAAGGCTGTACCCTTGCATGGGGGAGAGTGCTTGGAGAAAGCTTGTAATCCTGCTTACATTTAGTGATGCCCCCACACACAGGGAAATAGCTCCAGCTAATATTTAGCATCTACAAATTATTCATTCATTCAAAAACAATTACGTACCAGAGGTTGAAATCCTTGGTATCATCTTAAATATGGTGGGCAAAGGATTAGGACTTACACTGAGTCCTGGGCCATTTTGGACATTATTCTAAGGGTGAGTCAGTGATGTGAACCTCAGTGATTCACAGCTGCTAATTACCATGATTATTCCCTGGTAGCAGGAAGAATGCTCCAGATCTTTCTAGCTTGAGGGTCATCATGGCCAAGGTGTATGCCTTTTGGTTGAAGGGGCTCAGCCACCCTTTGATGTCTGTTGTGGAATTTTTTTTTACAGGAACAAGATTGGGAAAGTGGAAGTGAAGCAGAAGGGGAGAGCTGGTATCCCACCAACATGGAGGAGCTGGTTACAGTGGATGAGGTGGGGGAAGAAGAAGACTTTATTATGGAACCGGACATCCCAGAGTTGGAAGAAATTATGGCGGTTGACCAGAAAGACAAAATCTGCCCTGAAATGTGTCCCTGTGTGACAACCACCTTAGACCTGCAAGTGTCCAAGGATTTGAATTTCATTAATGAGGGAGTTAAGATCATAGGGAATGGAGCCACAGAAATTAGCCTCAAATTGCCCAGACAACTGCCTTCTGATTCTGTGAGTGATCCCGGTGACACAAACGTGGAAGCGCCTGGCCTAAATCTGGATGCTGAGCGGAAGCCAGCTGAATGTGAGACAGGCCTCTCACTGGAGGATTCAGACTGCCATGAGAAGGAGGCAAAGAGAACGGAGAGCTCAGATGTGTGTCTGGCCCCTGCAGCCCAGGAAATGTCTTCCCCCCAGCCAGCAGAGGAGAGGGCCCAGCAGCCCAGCCCCTTTCCGGATGACTGCAAGGCCAGGGGGCCCCCCGAAGATGGGGCTTGTGAAGGCACTCTCCAGGAAGAGAAAGCCAGCACCCCCACTGAACCTGACCTCCAAAGCCAGGCTTGCCAAGGAGTGTTGACCGAGGGTAACTACCTCCCTTTTTCTCATGGGTGGTTGGGTGGACCAGACCACTGCTGCCCTCAGGAAGGATGGGGAGGTGCAGGTTGGAACAGAGCTAAGCAAACTTTCAACTCGTGTTAGAGCAAATGCAGAAAGTCTTGTGCAGATGGAAGCAAGCCTTTAAGAGCCTGGTTAGACTTTTAGAGCCTTCAGGCAAATATTGTAAAGGAAACCAATTGGGAAGCCATATGTTCTGAGAACTCAAGTGTTGATGGGGTCCTCGATGGGCTTGGACAACTGAAAGGAGGTCCCATGGGATCAATCAACTGGTCTTGCATGCAAATTGGAGGCAATCCTGGCTGTAATTTTTGCACTAGGAGGAGAGAAAGGAGTGGAAGGGGAAGGAAGAGGGTCTTATTAGGGAATTTAGTTTGTGTCTCCTACTCAGACTCAGTTTTCTCTAGGGTCTGAAAGTGATACAAGACGTGTCCCAGGAGCTGCTCTGCCTCTACCAGAGGTGATGTAGTAGCTATGCTCGGCACTGTGACATCATGAAATAGAGAGTTTAAAATAGACTAAGCTGTGGACTCTCTGCCAAGTGGAAACTGAGATGGATCAAGGGCTCGAGTCAGGGGGAGAAGATAGTAGCCCTTAAGCATCTCATAGTGAAAATAACTAGAGATTCATTTTACTGAAAGCTTGTGACACTACCAGTACTGAAGCAACAGTCAGAAAATAGAGAGGGAACGCTGAAAAATACCCATTTCTCCTGAGCGCCTTGTCAGTGGCACAAGTTGGCAGATGATCTGGTGCTTGGGCTTGCCTCTGTGTCAAGCTGACCTGAGCTGTTTTTCACTTGCCCAGATTTGTATCTCCATGGAAACTGTGCTGTGGACTGCCTGCTTGTTGCTAGAGAAACACCGAGACCCACATGGGCTAGGGAAGCCAGAATAAAGGCAGACTGACGTTTTCACTTCGCTCTGATTGAACCCTTTTATTTTGCAATCTGGGTCTCAACATGTGCCAGTGTTAGTAGTTTATTAGCTTAGCACAGTGTTTGGAGTTTGTATTTAATGACACTGCTTCATGAGCCTGGGGTGAGAATCGCATGGGATTTTAGGTCAGCCTCAGTGGATGTCAGCACAATTTTCGCCCTTCAACAATTCCTCTGTTTGCAGAGGTGGGGTGATACTGATTTGGGGGGAATGAAGGGGGTGGATCATCTTAACTAAAGGCATTAATAGCCCATCCCCCCAGGCCAAGTGCAAGGATTTGCCAAGTTTTATTGTGTGTGGCATTCTTCTGGCAGTGGAAAAGACTCTTAATTATAGAGCTTTGGTTCTAATTAGCAGTCATGGCCCCAGCCTCATGTGATTAAGCAGTCAAGGACAGGTCCCAATCACCATTGCAGGGAATAGAATTACAGGGACTCTTGGAGGCTGTGTTTCATTAGTTTTTTTGCCTTGGCCCATGTTTTACAGAAAGTTCCAGGTACATGGAAATGAAGTCTCTGGATGTGAGATCACCGGAATATACTGAAGTGGAGCTGAAAGAGCCCCTTTCTTTGCCTTCTTGGGAACCGGAGGATGTGTTCAGTGAACTTAGCATTCCTCTAGGTAGGTGAAACACAGTCTTTCCTGAAAATCAGCCCCAGGAAATAATCATTCCATAGAGATTCCTAAGACCATAAGAGAGTTTTTCTGTCATTTTATTGTTATTGTTTTTAACATATGATGCAATAACCTAGATTTGCAAGTGGCTTTTCTTGCAATTTCAGTCTCCTGTGGTAGACAAACAGACACTCCAAAAGAGCAGCCTGGAGCAGCACTGCGCTGAGAACCTAAAGCCAAGAGTCCTGTTTTCCCTGTTAGGGAATGCTTTGTTCTTGACCACACAGAGACTGGAAGTCCAGCCCTTACTCAGGCAAGGGAGCAGAGCCCAGGGGCCTCCAAGGTGTCAACAGAAATGAACCTTCACTAAGCCAGGGGTGTCAGTGCATACCTGGTAGAATCCTACCACTCACAGGGTGAGGTAGGAGCATCACCATAAATTCAGGCAGCCTGGGCAACTTAGTGAATCCAAGACCAGTCTGGATTACATAGTGAGACCCTATCTCAAACGAAACAGAACAAGCAAAGAAATGAATCTTTTCTGCTGCCACCCTTCCTCCTCTCCAGGTACCCAGCCCTTTTCAGGACAATGCTGCACTTTTCTATATACAAGGCGGCCTCCTCTGCGGCATTCAGTGGTGCTGAATAGATTGGGTTGGGGAAGACCAGACAGTGGATAAAGGGAGCGCCGAACATGGAGAGACCTGGTTCCTTGTCCTTCCTGTTCCATTGATGGGTGTCTGTGTCACCCTCAGATAAACCATATTCTCTGACTCTGTTTCCTCCTCTGTGACATGGAATTGGACCAGATCAGTTGTTTTCCAAGCATGGAATGTTGGGGTGGGGTGGGGAGGAAGTATACTAATAAAATCACTGGGATACATTTTTGAAGTGGAGATCTAAGCAGTCTCAGGATAAGGCAAGAAGCTACTTTAAGAAAGTTTCCTGGGGTATTCCCAGCCAATAGCATCTCTGAGTCTTGCATCCATTCTAAAAGGTTGGGAAGCAAAGAAATAAAGGAGGAGCAACCACTGCTCAGAGGGAGGGTGGGGAAGTGTCACTTGAGAAAGTGTGACAAGTGAGCACAAGAAGCCAGTGACTGTGTATCTGCCTCTCCACCCTCAGAGTGGAGGCTCACCCTTTCCATCCAAGTTTCTCTTTTCTTCTCTTTTTAAGCAGTCCCTTCCTAATTTATTCCTCCCATGTGTACTGCTTTTGTGGTCAGACTGAAGTGCAAATTTTTGTTTGTTTGTGTGGGCACGTATTCATTGCTTGGCCTCTCCAAAGACAAACATTGAAATACAGAAAAGGCAGGCCATAGCGTGGACTGCAGGGCTCTGATTGTCTTAATCCTTGGAAACCCCTGTGAAGCTTGCCTCTCAGAGGCTACAGTTTATCCACGCATTCAGTCAGTCAGCCAGCAAGCATTTGTTGGATGACACAACACTGTACTGGGTGTGTGAGAGAACCAAGACAAATCTCCTATCATTCAGGAACCTGGATTCCAGTTGACACATGCAGAAGTTAAGGATGAATTCTGTTCCTTGTAATTCATATCTTTTTATTATTGTTTTTCACTGAAGAATATGTTACTGTAGCAAATTAAAAACAAAGAAACAGGGCCTGGAGATTTAGCTCAGCGGCATAAGTACCTGCCTTGCAAGCAGGCAGTTGTGAGTTCGATCCCCGGTACCGATAAAAATGAAAAAAAAAAAAAGAAAAAAACCAAAGAAACATGTAGAATCAATATTAGAGACTTTATTTCTACAATCTCTCCTGAGTTTCCTGAGATGGCCAGTCATGCCCATTGATAATTTCTGTCCTGCAAAAATAGTATTGCACTGTAAGCGTCACGTTCTGAGATTTGCTTTTCTCATTCAATAGCAAGTCCTAGAGATCCCTGCATGTCAGTATGAGAGAACATATTCTTCTTACCCATTGCAAATATTCCATCATAAAAACTCTACTGTAAACTGCTGATTCTTTTCTCTGGCAGTAAGCATTTAGACTTTTTTACAGACTTGGGTTTTCCATTGGAAAAATGCTGTAACAGCTAAACTTTTATTGTAACCACTCACTAGATGGGCAGTATTCCTCAGGCTTTGAATGTAGTATTTCATTTAATAGTCTCAAAACATTTGCAAGATAGGTATTTTTGTTTCTACGTTTCTGATAAGAAATTTGAAATGCAGCGTCTCAAAGCTAATGCTTGGCACAGACTAGAACTGGGCTGCAAATTCTAGTAGTCTGCTCTTATGCTGTCTCCTGCTGCCTTCTGGATATGCTAGTTCAAAAGCCTTTGTGTGCACCAGCATTTCTCCGGGGCAGAATGCTAGCAGGAGGGGCTGTGGACCATATGCATTTGCATTCAAAACTCTTGTAATTGCTTCTAAACTGCTCTCCAGAAAGATAATACCAATTTTCACTAGTACCTTGAGGGAGAGTTCTCATTCCCGATCTCTTTGCCAGCTTGATCTTAGCTTCTAATCTTTGCCGACCTGTTAAGGAGGAAAATGGTATCTTGCCTTGTTTTTAAGCAGCTACATGGAGACACAGGTGACATACAATGAAATGCACAGATGGAGCTGTACAGTTCTGTTAGTTTTGAGGTATGTATACATCACCACAGCCAAGGCAGTGAATATGTCCATCACCCCAAATCCTCTCAGATTCCTTTGTAATCCCTCCCTCCCCATGCTTCAGCCGCCAGGTGGCCACTTTCATGTTTCTGTCTCTAAATAACAGTTTGCATTTTCTAGAGTTTTATGCAGAGGAATCTTACAATATGTACTGGTTTTGCCTGACATTTCACTCAGCAAAATTGACGTGCATCTGTATGGTTGAGTGTATTGATGGTCTCTTTTGCTGTTGAGGCACACTGCATTGTGGCTATGGATATGCATTCTTGGTATGATGGACACTTGGGTTGTTTCTAGTTTGGGCTACTCCTGATTGTCTTGTTAGTCTACCTTGTTGGTCCCCAAGGGAATGGTATGGTACTATTTTCTGCATTTGGCAGGTGAGTGAACCGAAGTCAGAGATGTTGTCAAGATCACATAGCAAGTTCAGATTTGGGCTCAGGATTTCTGGTCTCTGACTGCCCTGTCCTCCAGGTTAGGCAGCGGCACAGCATAGGAAAGGCAGTTTCTATGCAAAAATGAAGAGTTCTGGGTTTAAACCTCATCTGTACTACTTGATGGTTGGGTGGCAAAGAACAACTTGTTCAACCTCTCTACTTAGATTTCTTCAGCTGTAAATCAGATAGTGTACCATTATAGACTTACTTTGATAGTTAAATGCATGAACACATGTAAGGTCTTGATGCCTTCTGGTAGAAAATTCTCACTGAGGGTCTCACTTCTGTTCATTCATAAAATACTGAGACCGACTCCTCTGTGTCCTCTTCTTGTGGCTGCAAACTCTGCAGCCTCCAGGACTGGCCACTCCTGGCAGAGAGATTTACATAGAGGTGAGAGATGGTTTTAGGGCTTTGTTCTTAGGAAGAGCAGGGAAGGGGTGCCAAAGCCTGACCAACCCGTAGGACATGGTTGGGGAAGGGCACTGCTTGTGTGATTCAGGCCAGTTCTGTGTGACCCTGGCCAGTTTAGTCTGCCAAGGCCTGCTTGTACCAAAACCAAACAGCATCACCAGCAAAAATGTGAGCTTCCCTCTTTTTCCATCCCAGGCTCTACTAGGATGTCATTGTCATAATTACCTGTGCCAGGGGCTATTATTAGGAGGCAAATGCAGCTTTCATGTGGCTCCAACATTTGCCAGGCTTTGGCAGTATCTCTCGGTGCTGCCGGGCCATCCCCCCACATTCTCCAGGACCCCTGAAGCTGTGATGTGGACACTGTTGTTGTTCAGAGTTCGGTACCAGCTATTCAGGGGTTCTTCTACCCCAGCTTCTCTTTCCCTAGTGCTGCCTTTGATTCCTGGTGCCAACTCAACCCACTGGGGAGGGCAGGGGGAGAAAGTGGCCTCCAAACTCTGGAGAAGATTCCCTCGGTGACCTGGGGAAAGGGTGAATGAGGGTCAGATACTTGGCTTCTGTGTAGATCTGTTTAACACATTTCCAAACAAATAGACAAACAAACTGAAAAGCATATGTTTCCAAACTTAAATATTTTTTTAGCATCAGGCAAAGTGAGAGGTGTTTCCTCATCACACACTCTGTGCTGTCCTTATTCCTGGTTGACAGATGAAGAGGCCAATCTCGGAGAGGTTAAATAATGCACCTGAAGCCACACAGTTGAGGTCGAAGTACCAGCCTATCTGTCCCTAAGTGCCATTTTTCTCTGCTCTCTGCCGTGACTTCTAGTCTGTTTTTACTTTATGTTTTGTTGGAGGGCAGGCAGAAGAAGCCTGTGTGCGCTGAAGTTAAATGTCGCCCTGAAGCCCACAGGCGGTCCCTAGGTGTGGCTGTGACTGTGGCTATGGTTGTGGCTGTGGCTCAGGCTCTGGATGGCTCTGGGATGGAAACTTCATGCCCAGGCTGCAGAGGGAACTCCGGGGCTCTGTTCCAGCACAGGCCTGCTCAGAGCCCTCTTCTGGCCACGCTCTCCTCACCCAGCTACCCTTCTTGGGGGGAGGCGTGGACCTCGTTCCCCCATGGAGCAGCACCAGGGATGGAGGCAGACCTCACCCCATGCTTCTTCCTGTGACAGCCATGGGCCCATTTGAGAGGTGAAGGGGACAAGTAGTTCCCAGCAGGCCACTTGTCCATCCATCCTCTGTGGGGACAGTGGCGAGAGGGGCAGAGAGAAGGACATCCAGCTCCCCGGGCAGCTGAGCCATGACTCCCTTTCCTAGGGAATGCTGCCATCTCCCGAGGACTCAGCAGCTATGTGGCAGTTAGAGAAAGCCCAGGCAGACCCAAGGGACCACAGGCAGGCCCAGGGAACCACAGGCAGGCCCAGGGGACCACAGGCCTGAGCCGCAGATTAAGGAGCAGTCAAGGCAAGACTTGGGTGAGGGTTCCTGAGCTTCCTTCCCCTCTCCTGTCCTCCCTCAGGGCTGCTCCTTCAAACAAGACGAGGTTTATTTGACTTGGCAAAGTCCAGGCCCCTTCTATATGACAGGGGCTCATAGGCACTTAGCTCAGTCCTGGAAGGCAGGAGAAGAAAGTGAAGAAATGGGAGGAGCTGGGGCTTGTGGCCAGGCTGTACCAGGGCCAGGGCCCTCCATAGTAATGTGTTCCTGTTTCCCTTCTGCTGGAGCAGAGCGTGGTCATGTGTCCCAGCCCTGCCCGCCCCAGCAGGGGAGAAGGGAGCAGCTGTTCCACCTCCACACAGGCAGGCTCCCAGCCTTCAAGGGGGACCTTAGTGCCTGAACCTCTGGCCCTCTGCCTGAGCTCCTTGGTGTCCTGCTTTTCCCAGCTCTCATACCCTTCCTGTACAGGAGCAAGGCCATCAGCCACTCCATGGGAGGGCGTGTGCGCTCACCCTATTTCCAGAACCTGAGGGTCAGGAGCAGTTTTGTTCACCTCCCCAGGTTGCCTCAATCCTTAGCGGCTGACCTGGACCATCTCAGACGTGGCCTCTTTCCACTCTGCTGACCACGTCCTCAGCAGGAGATGGAGGCCATGCCAGCCACCACTGCCTAAGAGATGACCCCTCTGGCTGTGACATTGTCACTTGGCCATGATTAGGGGCCACTGTCTCTTGAAATCAAAAGGCCTCCCAGAATTCTGGGATTTACATTTAATAAGTCACAAAAGAAATGCTGTTAACCGATGAGACAGATGCAAGGAAGGTAGGAAACGGTCCATGACACACTGTTGTGTGAAAAGGGAAGGTCAGAATTGCATTCAGCCCTACCGTATGATTAAAACTGCAAAAAAGGAAAGGTCCTACACGTACATGAATCACTTAGAAGGAAATATTTGGACCAGAATAATTCTAGGCAATTTCCCCCCTCACTTTTAATTATATAAATATTTTTTCTTTCACAAACATAATTCTTAAATACAATTTATTTTTTGTTTCAGTTTTTTTTGAGGCAGGGTCTCCCTATGCAGTGCAGGCTGGCCTTGAACTCAATCAGATCCTCCTGCCTCAGCCTCCCAAGTGCTGGGATTACAAGCATGTACCACCACACTTGGCAATAAATATAATTCTAAAAAACTGATAGAATTCTTCCAGAATCACAATAGCTACAGGAAGGGCACAGCAAATAAAAAAAATCCAAGCAAGTAAATAAAATAAAATCTAAGCAAGTAAAATGTAAATGCTCTCTTTCTTCCTTTCCTTGGGAGCAGTTTGAGTCAAAGAGTCTGGTTTTTAATTCTCAGAGGAAAGAAACAGAGATCTCAATGGCTCACCACTCATCACCCTTCTTAGAGCTCAGCCCCTACACTCGCCATCACCTATCAATGCAGCAGAGATTTGTTCCTATACAGCTGTTCTGCAAATGAGGGAATTGAGATGGTTGAAAAAAACAAGAGGGACCCAGCCCAAGTCCATAGCAAGGGCATGTGGAGTGCCTGGCTCCCCTTTCCCTGGTGGCTCCCAGGACTACAGGGGCTTCCCGCCACTCCCCTAACACTTGCCTGTCCATCGCCCTTCTCTCTCGCTCTCCCTCCAGGTGTGGAGTTTGTGGTTCCCAGGACTGGATTTTATTGCAAGCTGTGTGGGCTGTTCTACACCAGTGAGGAGGCTGCGAAGGTGAGCCACTGTCGCAGTGCTGTCCACTACAGGAACTTACAGGTAACTCAGTTTTCCTCCATCAGCAGCCTGCGGGGGGGCCCCCATCTCCCCACCCACACCAGGCATCTAGTGTCTTTGCTTTGCTCGCCTCCGTGGCCAGCTGCAAGCACTCCATTGGCATCTGCTTCTGCATTTCTGTGTCCTTCGCCTGTGGACAACTCCTGACCCCAACAGGCTGCTCCATGTGGCGGCTGGGCCCCCAGAGCACCTGTCTCCACTGTGGTACTTATACTGCCCTGTTTGGTCTGGGTTGTTAAACATCTGCCTCCCTAGCTAGACGGAGAGTGGCTCAAGCTAGGCTAGCATTCTCCTGGGCCAGGGCAGGGCTGAATCCTCTCCACCAGTCTGGATGCTCCAGCTGCTCACATTTTCATTTCTGCCCCTCTGTGCAGCTAAGCCAGTTTGCTTAAGACCCACAACTGTGTTCCATTTAAACATGCATCCAGGCAGCACATAATTATCACAACAAACTAGTTACCAGATAGTGCTCTAGGCTCTGAGGAGCCGAAAACAAAAACAGACAAAAATCTCTGTCTTTGGGGGCTTCTGTTCTAATTTAAGAGACAATTAACAACATTATGTAGTACATTAAAAGGTCACATAGAAAAATATATATCATGTTTCATGCAATCTAAGGTGCTATCCTGTGTAAGATTCAATTTTATTGATGTGGTTTTAAGGATCAAACCCAAGGCCTCAAGCACTCTAAGCTGAGTTACTTCCCCGGCCTAAGACATTATGTTTTGTGGTGCTCTGTCCTTCACTACAGAAAGCAATGCTGAGAATTAAATAATGAGACTATAAATTATAAAGTGCATTTTTATTTCACAGATATTAATTTGTTTTAAAAGGAATCAACCTGCCATTTAAACATGGTCATAAGTTCCATAGTGTATAGCCCACCCAATATATAGTATATCTGTGTATTTAGATTTGCAGTATATTTCTATCATTTATAATATAGGACATGGTTTTCATGATTAACTTCTGGCACAGGCTGGGTTTGACAGGTGGGGTTGACCATCTTGAGCCATCTCCTACTTTTACTGTCGTTGGATTCACAAGGCTCGACTCTAGAAGTCCTGGGTTGTCTGTGCTCCAGTTCTGGGCCAGGCAGGACTAAACTGTTAAGAGTCTCTGATCAATGGTTCTCAGCCAGCAGTGTGAACTAGAATCACCTGCACAGTGCTTTGAAAGCCCATCTGCTAGGTCAGATATTATTCAGTAGACTGGGGTGAGAAGCAGGGATACAGAATTGGAGAAAATTATCCAAATGACTAGAATGTGCAAGCCTAGTTAGGAAATTCAGACATAAACTGACTCCTTTGTTTTATAATTGAGGAAACTGAATCTCAGAAAAGAAGCTATGCTATTTGTACAAGGCCATGTGGATGGTAAATTAGTGGCCATGGAGGGTTGGATCGCCTGATTCTTAATCACTTTCCTTCTTTTACTCTACGAAGTTGGTCTTGGAAACCGAAACCCACAGTGTTACAGCCTGAGTCACTGTTTGTAAGACACTGTCCTTGGCTGTGCTCAGCTGTAAGACCCAGGTCATTCAAGCCTCTCGATTTCCCTCTGAGAGCAGGTGCTCTGTGACCAAGGCAGCCCCAGGTCCTGCCTGCCCTGGAGCTGTGGGAGGCCTGACTTGGCCAGAGCAGGGAGTTCAGACTGAGGACAATCACTGAGCCCAGAGATCCCACGACACGATGAAACTTATAAATGGCAGGGCTGGAATGATCCTGGAGGTCATCTGTTCTGATTTTCCCAAACCTTCATCCAAGCTGGCATCTTTTAAAGATGCAGCTTCCTGGATTCTACTTGCTACCTGCTACCTCAATACTTCCAGGCTGGGCCCCAGAATCTGCATTTTAAACAATCTCTCAGCAAGCTCTGTTGACTCCATGTGAGACCTTTTAGGTACCCAGCGTTCTTGGTGGGATTACATAAGACCATAAGGCTCAAGGTCACTGTCAGTCAGAGTTAGAAGTGTTCAGGCTTTCCAGGGCAATGGACTACACTGTGTTCTGGGCTCCTGGGCCAAACCCAGCTGGACTCCCCTCTGCATAGCTGGCCAGTGCCATTCCTGTGGGCCCCAGACACATTGGGTGCAGACATTGGCTAACCCTGCACCCTGGCCAGCCACAGATCAGGTTTCCCCAGTGCAGCTGTCTGGGAGCCAGAGCTCCACTGCAGGCTTCCCAGATAGGGTTTCTGCCAGGGCCCTTGACAGGATGCCTCCATCCACACAGCCCTGCCCACCCCACTCCAAACTGCACGTGTGAAGAGTGAAGAATTCAGACCCGAGCAGCAGGTGCTGGCTGACACCTTAGTCAGGCTACTTGTAAAGCTAGCACCCACCAGGGGCCTCGAGGTGGGGATTGGGATGGCCCTTCGATGGGGAGCAGGTGAAAGAGTCTCCATACTCTCCAAGTAACCCTGCTGTGCCCTGAAGCTGGTCACAGTCATGGGTGGGCCTCTGGGGGTGATGTGGTGGAGCAGGTGGAGCTGTCTGGTGGGAGAGTAGCCGCTTGCTTGGCTGCTGCAGCCCAGGGAGAAGTGGCCACACAGCACCAGGGAGCAAGCAGCACTCAAGTGCGTGTCTGTCTGGGCCAGGCACTGTGCTCAGCACTCTGCCGCCTCTCAACTCTATGGTGGTGCTGGGTGGTAGCTGTCGCTTCCCTCACTGCACAGGAGGCAGGGTTATTCAGTTGCCTGCTGAGAGCGAGGACTTAAACCCAGATCATCTGATGAGAGAATTCACAGTTTTAACCACTGTGCTGGACTTAATCTTTGGACTCTCTGCCCCAGGCTCTCTGCACTCTGCCTGTTGCCCCGAAGCAGAGGACCCCCGCCCCCTGCAGCCCAGCCTTTCTGGGCCCTTTCACTGCACTGACACCAGGGAAAAGCCAGCTTGGAGTTCCATCTCAGCAGGGAGGGCTCTGTGAGTGATGCAGGCAGCTCCCAGTATAGGACCTCCAGGCCGCTCCTTCCACCCACCACGGCCTGCCAGAAAGGGTGTGAGGAGTCTGCATGGTCACAGTGCCTGGCAACGGCCTTCTGCCCTCCAGCTGGGATCCCTCTGCCTCTTACAGGTAGACAGGCTGCCTGAAGACCGGGCTCTTTCTGGATGGCAGAGGAGGTGTTCAGGAGGACTAAGGCGAGGGATATGGCGGTCATTGCCATTGACAGTAGCTGTGCTTCCCACTTTTTCTACAGGACGCCCATCTGTAGATAGGATAGTGGGGTCCTGGTGTAACTGGTACAAAGGGGGTGGCCCACCCAGAGAGGGGCCTGAGCACACCCTCCTTGTCACCTGCCTCACCAGGCCACCACTGACATCTCCCTGCCTCCTTTATTCCTCTCTGCCCACCACAGAAGTACTTGTCCCAGCTGGCCGAGGAGGGCACGAAGGAGATGGTAGGAGTCAGCAGCCCGAGGCCCGAGGACGGCGGGATGGTGCCACACTTTGAGAGGAAAAAACTCTAAGGCGATGCTGCCCTGCTGTCACTGGAAGAGGAGGCTCGCTGAAGTGGGGTCTGAGTGACACGGAAGAGGAACGAAACCCATGCAGGGCAGTGGCTTGGGTTTGCTCTCAAGACTCATTAAAGCACCCCTCAAATGACTCCAGGTGCCAAGATACCCTGGCCTGTGCAGCCTGTCGAGGGCCACTGACTCTTTGGACTCTTATATCTCTCCCAGAACCTTTCCATTTGCTTTTTTTCTCTTCCTCTCCTCCTTTTCTCTCTCTCCTTCTGTGCCAAGGATCATTTCCTTTTCATAAAGTCCAACTTCTCAGGGATTTCACAGTGTTTAAATTCTTGATAGGATATAACAGGTTAGGTCCAGCTGAGACACAGGAAAAGGTTTAATGGAATCTTTAGCCAATCCCGAGCCTGGCATCCATGTGCCCATCCATGTGGGTCACTGGTAGGGGAGCTAAGCCAGCAAAGACCTGAGGGGGCCAGCAAAGAGAACCAACTGGCCGAAGTGGAGCGGCTTCTATATATCTGGTTTCTTCCAGCTGGATACCACCTTTTACGAAAAACTCCTAGGGTTTGATTTTAGTTTTTTGGGGACAGAGGCTTGTTATGTAGTCCGGGCTAGCCTTGCATTCATGAAATAGCCCACACTGACCTTGAACTCATGGCAGTCCTCCTGCCTCAGCTTCCTGAGTGCTGGGATTATAGACATGTACTACCATACCTAGCTTGAACAACTCCCATTTTTAGTATCTCTCTCATCCTCCCAGTTAGTCCAGAAATCCACCAGACTTACATGCCTTAAAGTAAAATCAAATTAATTTTATCGAGAAAGAAAAGAGCCCTTCATTGTGGGAGCTCTGAAAAATTCCCTCCAGACGTATTTCCTTCCTCTGGATTTCAGGAGGTGTTAGGACTTCTTGTGTTCTGGACAAGGACTGTTTATAGATTCATTTTAGGGGAAGATGAGAATAGCTAATGCGGCAGTGGTGTGGGCTGAGGTGGACCATTGGGCTATGCCACTGGAGGCACTGGCTACAGACACAGTGACAAGGAAATGGCATCTTTGGCCCCTCCTCTGTGCCAGAGTTGCAGGGCGTGTGGTCCAGAGACCTCCTAGTGGAGTGGTTTTAAAATGACCTCTCAGCGGGGAAGAAGCTGAGGAAGTACAAGGCTGCAGGGCTGCAAGGTGGCATTTGAGGTCAGGCAGGTATTTGCAGGCCGCTTTTTCCAGTGAGGCAGAGGACAGAGTGCTGCTGGGGGCTGACCACATGTGAAGACCTTGATGTTGAAATGTCACCAGGAATAGAGTCCTCATTCCCCATGGGGTCAGGGCCTCAGGCTCCAGATATTTGGGCTGCTGGGTGTCAGTCTGATGTTCCAGCAGAAGGGGCCAAGGTGCTAGCCCTGAGGGTCTGCCAGCGTAGGGAGGGACCTCCCAGGAAAGTCAGATGGAGCCCGACGCTGTGTCTATGACCTGAGACTCTCAGGAAGGCACCCTCTGTGGTTTAGCTGGTGAAAAATAAGACAAGGAGGGTGATGGGGAGCTCCTCCCTGGGAGCTTCTTGAAGTATTTGTTCCTGACAGGAGAACTGGGCAGGGGCTATGTGGGGCTGTTCCTGTCTTTTCTTCTTCTACACGTTCTGACTTCTCACGAATGGAAGAAGGGCAAAGAGAGCAACACTGACATTTGTCAGTGAGGAAACCAAGGCACAGAAAGGACGCAAATGCAGAACCCAGAGCGAGACAGACCAGCCCGGAAGCAGCGGCAAGGCGAAGCTGGAAAAGCAAGAAACCTGAGCCTATGTGTCCTGGGGCCTTGGGGAGGTTGATCTCAAATAGAAAAGGCTAAAGAGTGGGGCCCAGCCCAGCCCAGCCTGTTCCTGGCCGGCTCCACAGGTTACCCTAGCATTCTACATTAACTGGCTATGTCTCCATTTCTCAGAAACCCTCCCACCCTGTGTGTCTTCATTCCCAATGAGGGGAGCTCTGTGAATCTGGCTGGGAAAAGCCGACCCCCTCCCTCACAGACCGGAACAGTGTGCTGTCAGAGAGGCTGGAAGCTCCATCCCCCAGCGAGCAAGCAAAGCCGACCTCACCAGCTCCCGCCCCCTCCACCCAGCAGCATTTCCATGGAAACCCAGACAGCTGACTTCCCAACGGGTCCCTGGCTGGGAAACTGATCTTCCCACTAAAAAGCTGAAGCAAGCGTCCAGGAGGGAGAGAGAAGAGACAGACTCTTTATTCAACCACAGCCTTCCATTTAAAACCATCAGAGATTCTATACATGTGTGTCTTATACATATATATATATTTATTTTTATTTATTTTTATACAGTTCCATTGGCTTGACCCTTCACTGACCCTGTAATTTGCACTTTTTATTCCTACGTGTGCCACACAATGCAATATGAAAGGCAACCAGGAAAATACTGATTTTTTTAAAGCTTTTTCTTCAATGTTTTTTGATCAAACTTTTCAAAGTGTCTCTCCCAAAAAGTTGCTTGAAAGTGGTTGCTACCGTGAGCAGCAGATCCATTTGCACCCTGAGTTAACATGACCGAAGGCCTGTGTAAGTTCTTTTATTGCTCACACCTGGGAATAGTGTATTAGCCCATTCTCCTGAAGACTTTGGTAAAGCTGATGTTGGTATGAGCAGTGGCCATCAGTATCAGGGTTTCCTGGCCTTTTAGTCCAAGGCAGTGATCCATTAAATTCTACTTGAACTGGACCAGTTTGTTTTGCAAGTTTAGGAGAAAAGAAAAAAAAAAATAGTTAATTTAAGTTTGAACTTGTAAAGTATTAGGATTTGTTGAGTGTCTTATAAATCATGCTTTTCCTGATCTGTATAATTGACCGCAAAATGTTTGTTTTTACAAAAGAAAAAAAAGATTTTTAATAAAGAGAATTAGAAAGCTTGTGAGTGGGTAGCCATGTGTCCTACAGGGGCCCCTTGACATTTGGGGTCCCCACAGATACCTCACTGAGCAATGAGATTGGCATTTTCTGCCTCCTGTCTCTTAGACATCTTAAAGGTTTGGGCAGCGAGCACAAAATTGGTCCCACATAGGACTCTGGTTAGGAAGCTAAAGAGAATCGGGCAGTCAGAGGTAAGGATTCCAGAGGAGACTGAATGAGAGGCTCTTCTAGGGGACGGATAGACAAACCTCTTTGCCTCTTACAGACCCCTAGCTTTGTGCCTCTGTGCTCCTTAGTCTTCTAGTGCCCAAATCTCACCGTCCTGGTTTATCTGGTGGCTGCCTCCCTTGTGACCGTGGAGATCTGATTGTCAGTGCTGTAGGGACATGTCTGGCCAGCAGTGGCTGGCCTTGCCTCTGCCAGCCCTGTGACTCCCTAAGGCTACTTCCTGGGGTAAAAAAGAGGATAAGGATAATCACCTCCAGGGTTAAAACCATTGCAGAGCACATTTGGTATGCTACAGGACACCAAATCTTGTTTTTCTAATCTGTAAGCTTCAAATTTCAGGACTTCTTTAGTTCTTTCTCCATCATTTCTGCTAAGGAAACAATGTCAATCTCCTGGGTCCAGTTGGCTGGTTCTTTGAATGGCTTCAAGCCTTCTTTAGGTTCTTCCCTCTTGTTGGCAATGATCCCAAATCAGTGGGGAGGGCCTGGGCAGTCTGGACCCAGAGGGCAGCGTGGGGCCACCTATAATTACTGGGAGCAGATCATAGATCTGAAGAAGGTTCCTGCTGAGCCTGTTGCTGCCTGCCACTCCTCCTCCATCCTCCCCCACGTGGCCCTTCTCAGGCTGAGCACAGGCCTCCAGTTCCCAAGCAAGAGGCCGGGGGAAACACCCTTATCTGCCACTCCTCTCTGCTACCAGCTGGCCAAAGCAGGGAACGGGCCTCAAGCTTATTCTGCTGCCCAGGTTCAGGATGCGGGATGCCTGGGGTGGCCCTTGTGTCTAGTCTCAGGGCGTTGCCCCTGGTGGCCCAACTTCGAAGAACATCATCCTTGGTGTATTCCGGGAGATGGAAGCCCATAGAGTCAAGCAGCTTGGGTGCCCTCCTAGGGAACCCCCTGTGACATCCTTGGGTATAAAGAGGCTAATTATATTAATCACCTCGAGGGTTAAAGTAGCTGCTGGTGAGCACACTTGATATACTGCAGGGCACCAAATCTGGTTTTTGCAATCTGGAAGCTTCAAATTTCAGGTCTTCTTTAGTTCTTTCTCAATCATTTCTGCTAAGAAAACAATGCCAACTAAGTTGAGTTGTTCCCCAATGTCTGAGGAACCCTATCTGCTCCCTGATGTCCCCGTGGGCCTGATAGCTTGGCTCTGAGCTAGCCCTTGGGGCTGGAGCCCTGACACTCAGATTGCTCCCGTGCCTACACCTCTCCCCAGGGATCCACTCCAGACTGTCATTGCCTGATTCTACCATGACCTAGACCCTTCTAGGTCAGGCCACTGGCATGCTGATCTTGGGCCCTGTGTGGTCCAAGACCTTTGTCTTGAACATCAAGAACTTGGGTTGACTGTTCCTCTGGGCAGTGGGGAGCCATCACTCAGACAGCTCCTCACTGTCTTATCCTACCATGATGGTCTTACAGGAGCTTTGTCACAAGTGGAATTCTAAGCTCGTGAGACACCCCTAAATCTCGGTCCTTTCTTTTGCAAGAGAAGAAAGGACCAGAGAGAGAAAACAACTTGCCTGAGGCAACACAGTTTACAAGGCTCCAGATCCCCTGGGCAGTCCTGCTGGGCCACAAAAGAATTTAGGCTACTCCAGTTAGGTTAGGTCAGGAACGTGCCAGGTCTAACCCTATCTGGATTCTGACCCTTGACAAGGCACTCGGGACAAACTGTTGACCTTCATGCATTGTGTGCATCAAAATCACCTGGAGAGCTTGCTGGAAATACAGATTCTTGGGCCCCTTCATAGAGAGTCTGGTTATGGGGAAAGCCCAGGTGATTGCATTGTAGCAAGCCTCTGAGCGACACAGTGGAGTGCACTGATCACAGTCCAAACAGTGCCACCCTACATGCAACTGGGGACTTCCCCAGCAGCTCCTAGAATAGAAGGGGCATTTATTTACTGGGTGGAGGAGGGTGCAGAGGAGATGAATGAAGACCAGTCAAGGTAGAGAAGACTCTAGTGTAGATAAGGTTTGAGAGTGGGAGATAGAGAAAAAGAGAGCAGCCTGGGCAGAGCAGACGGAGCCCTGTGAGGGAAAGGAGCAGTGTCATGAGCCTGGGTTTGGGGCACATGGCAGGACTCCTACTTACTAGGAGTAAGTCCAAGCTTAGGTGGGTCAGCCTTCCAGGCCGTCTCTGTATTAATGGCTGAATCACGGCTGCAAGCTCCTGCAGACAGAGAACTGTGCAGAGCCAGAGGTCCTTCTTGGGGAGACTTCTGGGCCCTTTTGGTGTCACCAGAGTCATGTCACTATCAGCAAGGGACTCTGAGATTTACACACACTTTTCTGTCTTGCACGAGCCATTACTGATATTATGCTTGTCACTGAGGCCATGTTTGAATCATCTCCTGTGTGTGCACACTTCAGGGACATTTTCCCTTGGCCTCTTCACAGTGTAAATGGGGAATCTACAGCTTAGGGAGACAAAGTAGTTTGCAAAGTGTCAGGCAGGCAGCAGAATTAGGTTCCACCGCAGATCCATGTGCTCAACCCTCCCTCTTAACTACTACTCTCCATCCTAATTTAACTGAATGTGAGGTGCTTGCGACAGGCACCCTAGTTATTAAATTCTAGAAACTGATATCACAGTTTCTTCCCTCCCTAGAAAATAGGTCAAGAAAGGCCCCCGCCCACAGAGGAAAACAGAGAAGAAGGTGGTACCAGGGATTGAACTCACAACCTCACACTTGCCAAGGAGGTACTTAAGCCACTGAGCTAAATCTCCAGCCATCTTTCTGAAAGTTTTGTCTGGAGAACTGGGTCTCTGGGGAAGAGAGGAAGGAGGATCCCTGAGGAGGGCTTATCCTCCTCCTGCCTCAGGGAGGGGCCGAAAGGAAACTGTTCCGCTGTCTGCTTTCAGGGACTTGGGGGCAGAGGCAGTGATCACAAGGGAATTTCCCAGGGCCCCAGAATGCCAGCCAGTGCTGTGCTCTTTCAACTTCTCCTTCCCCGGTAACAATTAATTATTTACCCACCACCTCTTTTCAACAAGTAGTCAAAATGAAATACAATGCATGTCAGGTGTGACCAGATTAAGCCAACAGAAAAATTTTTAACGAGGCTTGAAGAAGATTGGAGGCACTCCGCGTGTGATATACAAGGACTGACAATGGCATTAAGTCAGCATATAATGACTGAGAGCCACGGCAAAAAGAGAGAGTAGATCTATTCCAGGGCCATCTCCTTAGTATAGAGACGGCCAAGGGACATTGTTCTACCTGACTATTTTCTCCAAGTGCTTTCCTGTGCATGGGCAGAAGCACTGAAGAAACCCTTAGGTAGATGACAGCCCAACACCAGAGAAGAGCAGAGTGGACACCCTTCTGGGGGGGACAAAAGAATGATTTCTCATCTGCATGAAGGGGTCCCTGAGGTCAAGGTGACATTTCCTGGCATCCAGAGGTCCACAGCTGCTTGGCCCACATGACAGTAAGTACACCGGGGCAGGATTGTGGCTACATTTGTCTAAGTTGTAGAAACCCATTGTCCATTTCAAGGCAGGATGGGGTGTCTCCTTCCTAAACCTTCCTCTGTGCTAACCTTAGGGAAACATGGTCCCTAGCATCTCCAGCCCCAGCAGGGGGCCTGCCATGAGGAGCACACCTAGCACTTCAGTCAGTGTGGGGTGCACTGGCACCACCAAGCCAGTGTCCCCCATCCCGGCCGTGGGTGCTCCTCCTGGGCCTTAGCTTGGCTCCCAGCTCGCCCTGCTCACCCTGCCTCACCTCGGCCCCTCTGCCCTCGAGTTCCTGTTGCTGAACAAGCCTTTCTCCTCTCCTTGGTTTAGAATGTGGTTTCCCCCTACCCGGAATGTGCTTCTCCTTTTCTTACTGCTTGGAAAACATGACTTTCTTTATCACTCTCCTTGACAGTTTCTTCTTTACAAGGCCCACCTGGGCCTCCCCAGGTGTTCCTGCTCCCCCATGCTGTCCCAGAACACTTTGTACCCCTATGTCAGGCTCAGGCACATGCACAGAGATCCCTCTTTATGGCCCTTATCATGTGGCCTTGTGATGTGTTTATAGATCTGCCTCTATAGCACTCAAGGAGGCCACAGAGGCAGGGACAGTGTGCTCCTTAGTGCCCACCACAGGGCCAGTGCTGATGGGAATCATTTCCCATTCCTGGGGCTGCCCCAAACCCCAGGCCTCTGCCCAGTTGCTAGGCACCATGAGGATGGGTCCAGCTGCCTAGGTGAAGGAGTAGGGTGAGTCCTGGGATCCGTGCCAAGGAGCAACCCACCACCCACTTCCTTTCCCCTGCCCGCCCTTTCCTCACCATTTCCCCTAACTCAAGGCTATGAGTTGACTCTGACAGTTGGTTAGATAGCTCTGCCTGTATTGCCCAGCTCCCTGTGCCCCCAGGGGAGTCCCCTCCCTAAACCTTCTGTCCCTATTCCGCATCCTCACCTAGCCAGGCTCACCCAGTCGCCAGGACTTTCCCAGGCAGAGCTGGGGACAAGGCAAGGTTTATGACAATTGTGTCAACACTGGGTAGATGACCTCAGTTCACCTGCACCTTGGAAGCCACGCCTGTGTGCTTAATACCCACACCTCATTGATGCCTCCCACAGACGTGGGCTGTAGGGAGGCTCCTGGCACCCTCCTCTCCGGCATGTAGAAGGCACTGGCAGGTGGGGCTGAGCCGGGGGCCCCTGAGTGGAAGAGGCAAGAAAGAGAGACCTTGGTCTGGACTGATTACACCGGGCAGATGATTAATAATTAAACCTGACCTATTCCCAAGGATACACTCCTTACAGACAGGAATCAGCAGAGTGCGGAGGCTGAGGGAGCCAGGAACCCAGGGAATGCTGCCCCTTAGACTCACAGCCTCCGGCCTCCTGCCTACTACCTAAGGTCTAAGTCTAGAAATCCTCCCAAAGCAGGCCTTTCCCTGTTTGCCGCAAGGCCCTGAGTTCTGAGCACCAGACTCTGAGCGGCTCTGGGCCATTCCTAGGGTGCACCCAGCCTAGGTTGATCCGCCCTCCAGTAGGATTTGCAGATCAGACAGATGTCAGTTGCTCCTTTGGTGATGCATGATTTCCTTCCGAGCTCCTCCTGAGTGTAGCCTCTTCTGCTTTTATACTCTTACAGCCCAGTGCCTAAAAAGGGCAGGCAGGGCACACTCAGCAGGCCTTGTACTGGCTTCTTACCTACTACTGGCATGGGAACAGCATTCAGCTCAGAGAAGTGGGAGCCAGTCAGCCAGGCTGCAGCTCTCCCTCCTCAGCAGGGCCTCCTGAGTTCTCCCAAGGGTCCTTCTTGGGACATGAGACCCAAGATTCTAGCTGGCTCCTGCCAGCCCAAACCTAGGGCCCAGAGTGGAGCTCCCACCCCTCTGCAGACTCATCCTTCCGGTTTCCCCCTATTTTCTTGAAGATCCTGGGGAACCATTTCTCCACAGGCCACCCTCTTCTGTCTCTTTCCTTCCAGTTGCACAGCTCCCAGAGTTACGAGGCCCCTCATTTCACATGTTGTTCAGCCATCTGTGGCTAGCTTTTATTTGGGGGAGTGGAGTAGGAGTGGGGTTCAGACCCTCTGGAGCAACGTATTAAGGGATAAATCCAACTCCCAAGCTCTCTGCAGCCAGTCTTCTCAGCCTGGCCAGTGCACGGGAGCCAGCTTCTTGTCTTACCTCTTCCACTGATTTGCTTTCCTCCTTAAGTTTTGGGTATCAGGTATTATGTCCAAGTCAGTCAGAGTACTTTAACCTCTGGGTTATAGTGATTGGTTCAGGAAAAGGACTCTGACCCCAATGGACCCACCAAAATCTTTTTCTTGATTTTTGTCAGGACCGTCAAAAAAGAAACACTCCAATTCTGAGGTTGCTAGCTATATTTCAGTAGCTTTCTAAGTGTAATCTGCAGTTGTCTCCACAAGGTCAAAGCTATTTTTATAATCATAGTGAGATTTTCTTTACCTTTTCCCAATATATTGACACTCACACTGATGGGAAAAAGCCAAAAGGCAAAGCATGGTGGCCCTTTTCAACAGTGCTAGAGCGTAACTGTGTTTCTTGTCTTGGTCAGGCTTGACTCAGGAATCAAAACCCAGTTGGTATTGGCCAGGTGAACCCTGTGCGGTCCAGGCTTTGTTCTGTAGTTATAGAAGTCTTATACTCTGATCACACAACTCCAAGACACCATAGACATGGTACCAAAGTGAATGTTCTATAAGAGTTGTTCAGCGTACAACCTACATAGAATTGTGCTCTCTAAACTGTTCCATGTGACTTTGTTCTCATAAGATACAGTTCATGAAAGGATGCTGTATTAGCCAGGTTTCACTAGAGAAACCGATATAACACAATATATACGAATGTATAGGAAATGACAAGATTGGCTTACGATGGTCAACCATGGAGTCAGGTGAGAAAGCATACAGAAGGTGTCAGCACACTGGAGGCTGAAGGGTCCAGTCCAAGGCCTGGAGCTCCCTGTAGTGTCCCATGCAAGACTGTATCAGAAGGCCAGTGAGTCTGTTTCAGAAGGCTGAAAAGTCTACGACAAAGGCTAAAGAGTTCCAGGCGGAGACTGAATGGTCTGTGCCAGAAGCCAGGAGATACTGTCCAAGCTAAAGGCAAATACCAGAGCTCCTTGGAAGAACCAGCAATCCCTCTTTCCTCATTTCTCTTTTATTGCTTATAGATTACCCACCCCTTTTCCGGGGTGGGAGTAGGGAGTCTTTTACACCCATACATCTCTGTGCCTCCCCTGCACAGGCTGAGGATGTTTACAAAGTAATAACCCTGACCCCCTGCTGAATCATTTAGTTAAACTTCTGAACTTCTCAGATTGCCACAATGAACAGCATCCTAGAGTAAAGGCAGGTCCTCCACACCCAGGAATGTAGAACTGCTGAGTTACTTAGTTAAACTTCTAGACTTCTCAAGTGACACAATGTATCAAAAGTTACAGATACCTTTGTTAACTAAGCTGGAGAAGACTGCATGCTTTGTATCCCTCTATTGGAGATTCTCAGTAGAAATCTATACACTAAAGGTTCTAAAGTAACTTGGTATTTTATTTAATCCTTTCTAGCCCATATTATTTCATCAGTCCTTTAAACCCAGGGATTATGTAATATGTTGTGAAATGCTGGGTTTAAGCAAATGTTCTTGAACCATAAATTGGCACTACATATCTGTAGGTTCTACATCCACCAAATTTGGATCAAAAACATTTGGAAAAAATTGTTATCAGTATTAAATGTGTACAGACATTTTATTTTGATCTTTATTCCCCAAACAATATAGTACAACTATTTACACAACATTTATATTAGTTATCATAAGTAATCTAGAGATAATTTAAAGTGTATGGAAGGTTGAGTGCAGGTGTCACTCTCTCATGGCTGGGACAAAGTACTTGACACCCACAATTTAAAGGAGAAAATGTTTATCTTGGCTCACAATTTTAGGAGTTTCAGTCTACAGTTGGCAGGCTCAAACACAGAAATGGTGCGGTGGGAGGGCCTGCCAAGGAGAAAAGCTACACACGTTATGATGACTAGGAGGCAATGAGAGAATGGAAGGATGCTGGAAGGAAACTCACCATTCCAGGTCACATTCTCAGTGACCTAAACTTTCTGACCAGGCCCCTCCTCCGAGTACCACATTCAGTCATAAAAGGCATCAGTGGGTTAACTCACCAGTGGATATAGTGCCCCTGTCTTAGTTATTTTTCTCTGACTGCTGAGACAAATACCTGACTCGGACTTCCGGGAGAACATGGCAGACAGTTAACAGCAGCTATGGAGGCTCTCTGAAACACCCAGCTTAGAATTCAGGAATGGTGCTGAGTAAGGAATCATAAGCAAGAGGAGATATGTCCCGGTGATCCAAGAATGAACTGGGCTGAGAGAAACCAACTGGGAATGCAATCTTGGTGCTATAACAGGAACAGATAAAGCCTCAGCGTGGAAGCTGAAGCCCGCGCCATTGGAAGCCGTGATTTGGGCTGCGTCTGCATTGGCTTGGCAGGGAGAGAGACACGCAGAAGCTCTGAGAACGGGAATCGGTGAACGGAGTTGAGAGCAGGACGGGCGGGGAGCCGTGCATCCATCTCCAGTGAGTGAGGGAAAACTGGGTCTCTTTCCCACGGTCTAGGAGACTCCAACAGAGGACATTCTGGGACCGGGCAGACTTGCGGGAACAGGGCGCTGCAGTGACTTCAGTCACCAATCTGCCTCTCAAGCGGGATTGGTGAGCAGTGCCTAGCCCACGTGAAGCTGCTGGTTGAGACCCAGTAGGCTAGCACAGCACAAGTCCCAGCTCCTGAAGGTAGATTGACCTGGAGGGGTGGGCCTCGAGTAGGCTGCCTGATCCGTAACTCCCTGGTGCGCTGTGATGGGTGGGAACACCTAGCCAGCGCAATTCAATCAGACTGTGGCTGACAGGGAAGGAAGCTGGGCCTCCTATATACGCTTGCA